CCACGCGGTGTCTGTTGAGCGTCTGTAGTATTCTCAATTATATACCTGCAGACCAACCGCTTCAAGTTAACAACGATATCGTCTCTACGGCTGCCTTTCGCCACCTCGAACGCTGTGGCCTAGCATTGCTGTTATCCTGTAATGGGTAATTGCTGCTCTCAAAAATCTGTGGTAAGTTCATGCCCTTGTATTCAATGTGAATAACAATCACAGATTACCTCGGGCCTCGATAGAAGGGAAATGGCAGTCCCCAGCCCCTTCACCGAGTTGATTTCAAAATTAAGCCAGATAACATTCCTACGACAGAAGTCACAAAACTTGAGTCGTTTCCCAGTGGTACAGGAGGGCTCGGTGATGTCTGGAAGTGTTCTTGGTCTCGACCTCAGGTTGGAACATTCAAGGTAATTCTGCACTCGATCGAAAATTCACAATATCAGCTACCTTTTAGGTTGCAGTCAAATCAGTCAGGGTTCCTCAAGCAGATGATACAGAACTGGTGAATAGGACAAGCAAGGTAGGAGCAAGAACCAACTGAAAGTCGTCGTGTTCACCCATTTTAACTCACAGAGAATTCGTCGCGAGGCTTATGTTTGGATCACCCTAGAGCATGAAAATATTCTTACTTTCAATGGTGTTATTGATGGCTTCGGGCCACTCCCTGCCCTAGTTTCTCCGTGGATGGAAAATGGATCGCTTGATAGTTATTTGAAAAAGGGATGTGTTCCTTCCAAGACCGACAAACTGAGAATGGTATGCACCGTATCACAACATTCGGACGAGCTCTAACATGTCTTTAGTTAAAACAGATGGCGGCTGGCCTCAAGTATTGTGCATCTATATTTTTTCTGTATCTGGATCAGACATGCTCACCGACTTGTCAGTACACGACAACGAAGTGGTTCATGGCGATTTAACATGTGTACGTGTTAAAAGTCGTATCTCTGATGTCTTAGTATGACAACTCGATCTACAGACCAATGTTCTACTCAGCGCCGATGGGAAGCTCCATCTTGCGGACTTCGGTCTCTCAGTAATCCTTTCAGAATCACAAAACTCTACCTTCAATTCGTGCCACCAAGGAAATGTGCGGTGGATGGCACCTGAGATGCTTGCTTTACCTGAGCAAGGGGGAGTGGTCGTACCAACCAAAGCTGCCGATATATATTCATATGGTTGCATCATGCTTCAGGTGTGTTCCCCACCATTCGATTGCATGTCAGTTACTGTGCTGATCATGTGCAGCTGTTTTGTGGACGTGCACCTTACCTCTGGCTAACGCAAGCATATCACATCATTACTGCAAGAGTCTCAGGAACAGAACCCTTCCGTCAATTCACTGACATTGAAGACGTACACAAGGAGTATTCGTTGAAATGCATATCTGTCAGATCCGGAGATCGACCAGTGGCTTCCGCGATTGCGAAGTTCTTAGGAGCAGAGTAACAACAATACGATGAACTAGCTTAGGATGCTGTGTACTCGGAACAACATTCATGTGTTTCCTAATTTATCCTTGTTTACATACACTATGAAGATTGGTAATTGCATGTAGTCTGCTAGCGCATTAGTATTGCTCCTACATAAATACAAATACAGCTAGTGAATCATACGACACTGAGAAGTGAGAGCGGACACGGAGCAATCTGATATATGGTAGGACACGCCCGGAGTTAACATAACAACAAGAAAGAGGATCACTTCAAAACCAAGACTTTATACAAACGAAGCCTCATTCAACAGTGCTTCTTGAAGATGATTTATTACCTCTTCTACTGACGGCCGAAGCTCACTCTCCGTTGACCAGCACCGCCGCATGAATTTCAGGTGATTACGCTGGATTTCGATGGAGGAGTCAACGGGCTCTGTGCGTTTGAGCTTAGCAGAAGTAACGTGCATGGCAGACTTCAGCCACCAGTAAGGCTTTTTCCCATATAGGACCTGCACGCAGGCGAAGTTAGTATCACCAGTCAGCCAACGCGAGACCACGAACCTGAAGCATGATACCGCCGAGAGCGTATATGTCAGTGGATATCGTTGCGCATTGTATGGGTTGCTCTTCTGGGGGGTCAAGAAGCTCTGGAGCGACCCAACGTACTGCACCGGTGTGGTAGGAAAAGGCAGGGTTGGATTGCACCATGATATTGGAGATACCAAAATCTGCAAGACGAGGGGACCCGTCGGCAGCAACCAGAACATTACTCTACGATTATCATAAGATGATTCCGGTTGCATGGCATCTGTGAACTTACGTTGGTGAGGTCGCCGTGTATGACGTTGTGGTCGTGGACTGCAGAAAACAAAGTTATATTTGTGACATCCAAAGTTGATCCATCACTCACGATACCGGAGCCCCTCAGTAATTTGTTCAAGCTGTTTGAAAACGTAATAAGTTCCCGTACTCGTCGTCGTGGATATGACTCACCAGCCGAAGCCTATTTATCATCGAGAGGGTCTCATGTACATGCTTAAGGTAAGAGTCCAAAGTCCCGTTGGGCATCCAGGGGGAAACCAATGCGCGAAATGGGCCGAACTGCTCTACAGTGCCATGTAAGGGCAATACATATTGATGCTTTAACGCGGCCCATATACGGATCTCGCGGTCAAGGTTCTGCGTCTCACAAGTTCATATGTGCCGCCATCAGACCGGCACCCAACATACCTTGTTGATTTTGACAATTTCAAGATCACTTAGACTTGGGAATCGTGGGGATTTGACCGCCACCTGAAGTCATAATCAGGATATGCAGAAAAAGCAAGTTCATGAAATACCTCATCAGAGCTTGCGCCACGGTTCCATTTACACTTGTAAACATCTCCCAAACCACTCGAGGCGGTTGGGTAGCTGGTTTCCCGGTGGATATCACTTGGATTGATACAGGGGACACTATTACTGTTCCATGTTTATAAAGTCCTGCTGAGGCAAAGAAATGACATACAAGTCCTCTGTATCGTCGGAAGGCTGAACAGGAGATGTTTGGCCACCTGGTGCATGGCCAACCTGTTAAAGTGAGATGAATGGATGGCTCCATGGACAATGTCAACAAACGTACAAGACCATGCAGGAATTGTTGAACGCGATCGAGCATGTCGACGAGAAATCACAGTGGAAGATGGTCCTGTTCCCTAGCATCGATGAACTACAGTCTTATATGCAAAAAACACTAGTGCGACGATATCGCAAAGTTATCCTACCGATAATTACGGTGGAAAGAGGCTGCGTAGGGTTCAACCGAGGACACCACGACTAGTATTGGTCGAAGCAGCGCTGTAGATGAATTAGATCGATGATGAACGCTGGCCTTCCACTACAGACGCTCACGTTATTAGGCGTCGAGGGGAAATTCCACTTCCGATCTATGGCGGACAATGAGACATCTTGAAACGTGTTGTCAGGGATGTGAACAGCAAGTGAACAGCACTGGCAATACTGAAAAGAGCAGTCGCAAAGCCATATTCACTCTCGGCGGCTAAGATAATCCTCATGGAAAAGAGATAAGAGGTTCGAAAAATATGTCATGTTAGTTCTAACATCGCCTGCTACAAAACGATGTTAAAGCAAGTCAGTCGTTCTGCGAGGGTCAATGTTTGTTATTGAAGGCTTGAGCCAAATCGAAGCAATTAATGGCTTGTGCGTTGGCCTTGTCTGAGTCAGTCTTGACTGAGAAAAGCAACTGATGACTGAATGCACTGAATTGGCCCGTCCCATTCTACCTGCACCAATGATTTTCGAACCACTCGTTCATATAGTAATAAGGCATGCAAGGCGTCTTTAACGCTCGCACTGCATAGGACCTCAAAGAAACATTCCCACGTATGACAAGTTCTATTGGCAACTGGGCCATATTGAAACCGCACCTTGATCGTGAGGTTTTCATGCAATATGACTCATGCTCCAAGATATGGAACAGATCGGTGATGTAAGGTGACATGTCGTGACAGGCGAGGGTAAGGTTCCGTAGTTCTGATTCTTGTTTAATTCGATCATCCAGCGTTGATTCGCGGGTTTCTGCCACCGAACCCTTGAACAGGTCAGTCCTCTGCCTTGATCAATCATGAATAATTTCCTTCGTTTCAAATCACCAATATCTGCACCTAGAGGTTTGGGGCTTGCATAACAAGACTCGCATCCCCTGACTATCATGTAGACACTGGCTTTTAGCTCATGTATGGTATGAGTCACCTGCACAGGGAAAAACCTTGAAGGTTTTGCACGCAGACCTAAAATGAACGTTTGCAGCATGTAAACCAATACTAATTTGTACATACCTTCATGATCATCGCTCCAAGGGAAGTTTCAGGACATTGCCGGACACTAGTTGCTAATAGTACCATGTTGAATAAAGTGGTAGTGATCGGCTGGCGCACAAGATCCACTGTGGTGGCAAGAAGTTAGTCAGGGTTAGTTAGTCCCGTGGTACAGAGAGGCACCTATTGATCTCTCGGGCAACCAGCCAAACAAAATAAGTATTGGAAAATAAACTTACCAATGCGCATCAACGCTCATGCATACAGACTCCGAAGTTGGAACCTAGCGACATAACGCAACACTGGCAAGAAGCGCGACTCCCAAATATTCAACTCTATCTCTCCGAGAACATCGTACCATAGATCTCCTCCCGTACGGAATCAGTGTCGGCCTTTCCCCGACATCGTGCTGATGGGGGGTCCACGGAGTGCACGTTTACCGTATATTCAACACGTCATACTACATACACACTTACGATAGATAAGCGGCCCCCGTGAATATATCATAGGCTACATCCGGCATGGGTCTTCAACTCGAAAGGACAACAAATTTTTTCTTTAAAAGAAAAATGCCCACTGAATCATGCGTTGGAATGCTGAGTGGACACAACTGCAGTGACTAATCTATACAAGTCCAACATGAGATAAGTAGAGGCGACTTGCTGAAAAATTCGAGCTTACATAATAGTAGGAATGCACCTCACCACCGTGAAACCTCAACGTAAAAATGATATCATAAATCGATTGGCGATCGATCAGCTCTGTGTTTGTTTAACTAGCGCAGTAATATGATCTGATCCTAAGAAGTTCAGAACATCAACGGCAGAGGGGCGACGTCCTATATCACCCCAGCATTTTTCGATGAAATCCCAGAAAGAATCTGCGTCGTGCGGACTCGATGGCCTTGTAGGCTTCTTACCCTTCAGTATCAGGACAATGACTTGGTGATCGCTTCGCACATCTGCGTAAGGTGGTCTGCCTGTCATAACCTATGGAATCTTTAGTCGCAAACTAACGCAACCACTAGGGAACGCCTCGAACCTGAAGCATGATGCATCCGAAGGAATAGATATCGCTGGCTGGTTGTGGAGTCAATGATTCTTCGCTCTCGGGGACCTCGAAGAGTTCTGGTCCAGCCCACCGCACGTTGCTCCTGATGTATGAAGTCCCTGAGAGCTCAGAACACATGGTAAGAATTCCATGGTCTGCTACGTGGACATTGCGGTCTGAGTCTATCAGAATGTTGTTCTGGCGTTTCAGATCAGAACTAGAAGGCATGTATCAGACAACAAGTACATACGGCGGTAAGGTCACCGTGGACAACGCCCTTCGAGTGGACTGTAATGCTGTTACTTATTGTTTTCACAAACTATTGAAGATTCCACACACGGTAGCTGATGGCTGCAGCGACTTGCCGTAACTAAGGTTCCAATGAATACCATGATGTAACAGCACTTCTGAGAAGCAACTCACGATCAGGAGCTTTTGTTTGATGGTCATTTCTGTGAAATGATGTTCAAGATATGTAGTGAGCGAGCCGTTGTGTATCCAGGGAGAAACCATCGCTGGAAGTAGCCCGAACTCATGACTGAAACCGAGCAGAGGCAAAAGATTTTCATGATGCAGTTGCTTGCGTGCACGAAAATCGCCCAAGAGTCTCTATGAAGACATGAGGTTTGAACAAGCGCATCACATACAAAGGGGAAACCGATAACGTACTTGAGTAACTCGGGCCCTGAATTCGTCACCTGCGACATCGATCCTTATAGATTTGACTGCCACCTGTCATGGATTCAGATTGCAGGACAGTCATACGTGTAGCATGCTTGCCTCCAGGCCTGGACGGTTGGATGCGATATAGGTGCATTTCCACACATCCCCGAAACTACCGTGCGCTATTGGGTGAGGCGAGTCCTTGGATACAAATCCCGTAAGGTCGAGCAAGCTGCATGAAAAGTCGCATGAAGAAGTGCATGGCCACAAGGTATTATGGACTTACTGGTTGTCGGGGTCTATCCCACTATCACTGGTGACAGACGGGCTGCTTCTCCACCACAACAGCTTCCTCCTGACATTCTCTAACCAAGACCTGCAGTGGGACAAGAAAGGTAGAATCATTTAGTTTAGTAGACTCATAGGTGTGCTCTTTTAACGAGGCAGGTTGAGCGCAGAAACAATAAGACAATAGTATATTAGTACCTTCTTTTACAATATGAATAGTTGGAGATTATTTGGCCAACAGTCTAGTGAATCAAAAGTCGCGCTAGACGTCCTCCGTTTCTTCCATTGGATCAACCAATAACCGGCTGACTTTCCCCAATGGGCTCCCTTATAGCAGCACTACCCGCGACAATAGTCACTTCCTTGCCTTCCGCCTCGTCGTGCAGAGTGAATGAATCGACTTCAAGTAGACGGAACTTCCCGTTTGAATGGGCGTTAATAATCGTAAATTTTCGTTCTCCGCCAGGGTGACTACAACATGGACATATTGATATGAACCAGTCGAGTCCTGCGGTGTTTTGCCTTGAGACATACACATTGCTAGAACAGAACAGCCTGCATGATACTATATCATTTCATTCATTCGCAGGAGACAGATAGAACGGCCGTACTGCCACAGTTTAGGCGCATGATTCCAACACAACCAGGTAGGGGTTGGCAATATAGCAAGCCTTGGAGTGTGCGGATCGAATCGTGGATCTCCCAAGCTGGCTCTCCTAAAATCGATGAACCCCCATATGTTTAATGTGCACGGAATCGATTACCAAACTTGTCTGATACAAAAACATGAGTTAACACATAGCATCTCTATAGCGATACATTAAATCTCGGACATCAACAATAGGAGGTCGTTGTGATGACTCAACCCAACATTGCTCGATAAAGTTCCAGTGACAATCTTCGATGGCAGGGATGTCTGGACGCTTAGGCTTCACACCTTTGAGGATGGCCACAACCACCTGGTGATCACTGCGAATGTTACAGTATGGCTGCTTGCCCGATAAAACCTGACATAAATGAGGACAAGAGCGCTGCAAATACACGTTGTCGACAGACCTGGTATGCGATGCATCCAAATGAATAAATGTCACTTTCTAGTCTTGGTGAGCTAGATGCATCCTCGGTGTCCGGAACTTCGAAGAGCTCAGGCGCAGACCATCGTACATTACTCCTGATGTAAGAGGTCCCGTTCAGGTCGGAACATGTAGTCAAGAGCCCATAGTCTGCTACAATAGCTCTTCCGTCTTTATTGATGAGCACATTGTGGAGGAACGATACACGCGGGAGGTTTTACGACACGCTAGAACAAAGGTACGAGTCTCAGTATTCGTTTCGAATCTCTATTAACAATTGTTTGTACCTAGAACAAAGGTACGACTAGATGTACGTCAGCGCTTGCGCTCGAACGTTACAGTGGGACTTGTACTTACGTCTCAGTATTCGTTTCGAATCTGAGACGTTTCGACGAAAACAGCGTCCTCTTATACGGTGAGTCTGCCAGCAATAGCTTTGATGAAAAATATATACTTAAAGAACGAAAAGATTGCCGACGTTGACACGTCGTCGACGTTCTCCGTTTGGAGACGCTCGCACTCGATGTGCTCTATTCTTCGGCCGTATCGTCCTTTCCTTTCTCAGCTCTCTCTCTCTCGGCCTTACTTCCCTCGGACACATCGGCTCTCAACACTCCCCCTCGAGCGTTATCCAAACACATCAATGTCCTCAACCTCTGGAGTCGGGGACGTGCCAATGGCTTCGTGAACGCGTCCGCGACATTGTCGTCACTGGGGCAGTAGATTATCTTGAAGGTACCGTCCTTCACGTGGCCGCGTACGAAGTGGTATCGCAGGTCTATGTGCTTGGTGCGCGATTGGAATTTTCCCGTCGAGACTAACGCTATAGCAGCTTGGTTGTCGCAGAAGATGGGTGTGGGGAGGTCTTGGACGTCGTAGAGCTCGCGGATGAGGAGTTGCAGGTAAAGTACTTCCCTTGCCACGCTGGTCAACGCTATGTACTCAGCTTCAGCTGTTGACAGGGCTATGATAGGCTGTTTGCGCGCGCTCCACGAAACGGGGCCTCCATGGAGCAGTACGATGTACCCGCTCATGGAGTGCCTATGTGGCTGCGATGCCCAATCGGCATCGACAAACGCCTCAATTCCTCCCTCGCTGGATCCCAACGTCAGCTCATAGTCTGCGGTGCCTTTCAGGTACCGCAGGGCGCGTTTGGTGGCCTCCCAATGGGGTCTCCCCGGATTCCTCATAAATTGCGACAGTGTTGCCACCGCAAAAGCGATATCTGGCCGGGTACTCGTAGCTGCGTACATTAACGAACCGATCGCGCGTTGATATGGTATGTCTCGCATAGCTTGGAGTTCGGCGTGTGTTGCAGGGGACTGATCTATGGAAAGGACAGTACCTGGTTCCATGGGCGTGTGCAGGACCTTCGCGTCCTCCAGGTGGAACCTTTCGAGGATCGTCTCGACGTATGCCTTCTGTGAAAGTGTCAAGGTGCGTGCTACGCGGTCCCTCGTCACCTTCAGCCCCAATAACCAGCTCAACTCCCCTAGGTCGCTAATCTCGAAGTGCGCGCGCAGCTCGGACTTAAACCGATGGATATGGGATATATGGTTGGCGGTGACGGCCATGTCGTCGACAGAGACGGTGATGACGACGTGTTCGCGCGAGGTGCGTTTGTAGAAAACGGCTTGATCTACTTTTGACCTGCTGAAGCCCATTTCATTGAAGGCTCCAGCTAGCTCCTGCGCCCACTCATATCCTGCTTGTTTGAGTCCAGGTAAGCTTCTTTTCAGCTTCAGTACCTTCCCTTCCTGACCATCCTTCAAGTATCCAGGGGGCGCTCGCATATATATGTCCTCCTGCAGACTCGCATATAGGTACGCACTTTTAATATCGACTTGGTGTATTTCCCAGTCGTGCTGAGCAGCCATCGTTAGGACTGCACGTATTGTGCTCATATTGGCCGTGGGGGCGAAGGTTTCGAAGAAATCGACCCCGTACTTCTGGCGCTGCCCATTTGCAACTAGGCGCGCGCGAAGCTTCAGCTTCTCGCCGTCCGGCCCGCGCTTTGTGGCCAGGACGTAATGGCATGGGATAAGGTTTACGCCTCGAGGTGCGTCTACGATTTCCCACGTACCTAGCTTCTCGAGTTGACTGACTTCGTAATTGATGGCTTCTTGCCACTCTGCAGCGTCTGGGCCCTTCAAGGCTTGTTGGAGGGTCGGTTCTGGTTGGACGGCGGCCAATGCTAGGTGAATATGCGCCTCTTCATCCAAGAGGTCGAGTTCTGACGCTTCCAACAGGCTTTCCATGGTTAGGGCTGCCGTTTGGCCCTCATTCAGCGCCGCATAGTACCCTGGGGGTGGTCTTACCCTCGTCGACCTCGCTTCAGGAGTAGATGGTTGAGGTTGCTGGGCAGTAGACGGTTGAGGTTGCTGAGGAGTAGAAGGTTGAGGTTGCTGAGGAGTAGATGGTTGGGGTTGCTTAGGAGTAGAAGGTTGAGGTTGCTGTGGCATGGTGATGGGCTGGACGCTACTAGGTGAGTTATTATTACCGTTGCCGCTGTTATGTTCGTTGACTACAGCAGACTCCCCCTCGTCCGGCATACCATCGGCTGCCAGGATCGGCGTGAAGGTCACATTCCTCTCCACCGAGACACGCCGTCTGCCGGGCCAATACACCCGGTATCCTTTACTTTCAGCGTCTACCCCCACAAAAACTGCCTCCTCCGCCCTCGCCTCCAGCTTACCAGCCTCCAGCATATGGACGAAGACCCTGGCCCCAAATTCATGGGCCTGCGACAAGTCCGGCTTGGACTTGCGCACCAACTCGTAGGGCGTGCTACCTGGGATCGCCCTTGAAGGTAGGCGATTCTTGAGCCAAGTGGCGTAACTAACGGCCTCGGCCCACAGGTACTTTGGCATATCTCTGCCTAGGAGCATTGCTCTCGCATGCTCGACGAGTGTCCGGTTGAGTCGTTCGGCGACACCATTCTGTTGGGGTGAGTCGTGCACTGTTAGCTGCCGCTCTATACCTTGCTGACGCAAGTATTGATCGAACTCGGCGCTCAGATACTCTCCTCCTCTGTCCGAACGGATTTTGCGCACGCGCACACCTGGTGATTGACGGGCCACCCATGCCTCATAGGACTTGAACGCGGTAAGTGCGTCACTCTTTTGTTTGAGGAACTCGAGTCGCGTCTGCCGGCTAAAGTCGTCCGTGAAACTGACATAATATTTACAGCCTCCCAAACTCGTCGTCTGCGCCGGTCCCCAGAGGTCCGTATGGACTAGTTCTCCGTATGTAAGTGCGCGCATCTTCGTTTCTCTTGGGAAGGACTGCTGAGCTGACTTAGCTTTCACGCAGACTTCACAGAACTGGATGGCGGGCGCCGGATCTATGTCTATGCCCAGGATTAGGCCCTTCTTGACTGCGTCAAGAAGGGCCGCATGTGATACGTGCCCTAGGGCACGATGGACATCATTGATGGTAAGCTTTGTCCTGGCGACGTTGGCACGATGCTTACGGTCGGACGTTACAGCGTAAAGTCCCTGGACTTGGGGTATTTCTGCGATCGTCCTTCGTTCGGGGGGAGCAGACAGTATCCTGCACATTCCTCCTTCGAACAGCACGGCCAAACCGGCGGAGGCGATCTTATTGGTGGAGATAAGGGTAAATGCCATGGAGGGGGCATATAGGACGTCTTTTAGCGTCACGGTCGTTCGTTTCGAGCCCAACGGTAAGTCCATCCTCACGTCTCCTCGTCCTGTCGCATTGACAGTAGCTCCATTCGCAGTGTATATCTTCTGCGGGGCGATCTCAACGAAGGATACAAATTTTGCCCTATCCGGGCAGAAATGAGAGGTCGCGCCGGAGTCTACTATTGCTCCTCGGCGCTCTGGAGGTACGTCCATCGATTTTGCTATGACTGCGAGGTCTGACGTAGCGAAAGCGTAGTTGTCCTTTGGCTCCGGCTCTTTGGCTACATTGGCACTTTGTTTTTGGGTGCGTCCTCCTTGTCTCTGCCGTTGATTCGGCCCCTGACCTTCTTTTCCTCCACCTTTTCGCCAACAGTCACTCTTCCAGTGGCCCTTACGATCGCAGTTCGTACAGACTGCGTCGGGGTTGGATTTTGGAGCCGAGCTCTGCGAGCTTGTGCTCCTCCCTGCATTTGTTCTCGCGGAGAGCGCACTGTTGGTCCCGCGTTTGTTGGGACGTCGTTCGGTGAGTAACCGGTGCTCGTATTCCTCTGTGATGATGGTGATGAGTTCGTAGGGCGAGAGGGGAGTTTTCGTTATCTTGGCCGCTGCGTTCATCGACGACAGTAGCGGCCGGTAGGATTCAGGTAAGGACCCTAGGATGATGGCATGAAAGTCCGTATCAATGACGGCTACCCCCATTCCAGCTAACGACTCCCTCAGGCGCAAAAGCTCTGAAAAATGAGCCTTGACGTCACCACCTTCTTCGCACCTCGTCTCCTGGAGCCTCCGTCTCAGATCTATCTGGACGAGTTCGGTTTTGCCTTCATGTATGTGGCATATTTCCTTCCAGATTTCGGACGCGGATGCTAACTTTTGGACACGTAACAGCAGCCGATCTGTGATCGTGCAAAATATTTGCTGTTTTACGAGTGAGTTCTTTTGTTGATACTCATCGGTCTTTGCGTCGAGCTCATCGATTTCTTTCTGCGTAGGTGTTGTACCATCCGGCTTCGTAACGGCCCCCGTAGAGCTCTTTACGAAAGGCGTAGGCTCTTTAGCTCGTCCATCGGTATATCTCGTAAGTCCTCGTGCACCTATAGCCGTTAACGTCCTTTCCTTGTAGGTTATCCAGTTCGAGCCATCTTCGGCGAGCTTCGGGATGTTAAAAAGGTTTGAATTGGTGCTGGGAGTCGACAAGTCCATGGAGGAGACAGGGCTCATAACCTGTGGAGGAACGATACACGCGGGAGGTTTTACGACACGCTAGAACAAAGGTACGAGTCTCAGTATTCGTTTCGAATCTCTATTAACAATTGTTTGTACCTAGAACAAAGGTACGACTAGATGTACGTCAGCGCTTGCGCTCGAACGTTACAGTGGGACTTGTACTTACGTCTCAGTATTCGTTTCGAATCTGAGACGTTTCGACGAAAACAGCGTCCTCTTATACGGTGAGTCTGCCAGCAATAGCTTTGATGAAAAATATATACTTAAAGAACGAAAAGATTGCCGACGTTGACACGTCGTCGACGTTCTCCGTTTGGAGACGCTCGCACTCGATGTGCTCTATTCTTCGGCCGTATCGTCCTTTCCTTTCTCAGCTCTCTCTCTCTCGGCCTTACTTCCCTCGGACACATCGGCTCTCAACACACATTGCTCTAAGAGGAAACGGGGACGTGAGCAGTGTCACATATCTGCATACCACAGTTGCTTACACCTGTGAGATCCGCATGAACCACCCCCTTAGAGTGGACTAGGCACAATATACTGTCAGCTTATCTTAATGCAATGCAAAAATGACATGGCATACGATATTGAAGACCAGCAGCTACATCAGCGAGCTGTTATGGCGCTCGTGAGTTGTGGTGCAGCTAATGATCATCGAGGAAGACTTACCAAACTGAACTTGTGAGCCCCAGAGAGGCTGTCATAATTTTTACCAAGATACGTGCTCAAGGATCCATTGGTCATCCATGGAAATACGATGGCTGGTACTGGACCAAATCCGTAGGCAATCCCGTACAAGGAAAGAATGTTATCATGACGCAGTAGTTTCCACTTGCAGAAGTCATCCATTAACCTCTGCAAATATATTCATATCATTAAAGCGAGTGTTCTACATCATATCGGCCCACCTCGCTGACGATTTTCTTGAAACTGTCATCCTGAATTTCGATCCTGACACATTTAACCGCCACCTTAAAACTTATCATCAGACGTCAGAATTTACCACGAAACTCATACCAACCTCCACATTGCTATCTTTATCTGAGAACACGCACTTCCATACATCACCGAAACTGCCCTGGGCAGTAGCATATGCCAATTCCTTCATGACCTTCATGGTGAGGTCGACCGGGCGTCTAAATCAGTTGAAATTTTTAGCAAATGAGTCAGCTTTGTTCAAGGTACAGCCCTACGTCCACTCACTCGTTATCATTGGAGTTTACATCCAGGTGTGTCGCGCCCGACGTTTCTGTTTCCGGTTGGACTTTCCGCCATTTCTTAGGCAGCACACTCAGGCTGAAGATCCACGCGGAAAGAGTATTCATCTGTCGCCCTGGCAACGCAATGAGGTCGAAATCTTATAGGCCCGGGGCAGTTGGGGTAACCACAGAACGAGGATAAATACTAAACTTTGCGAGATTCCTGCCCTTATATCGACGTTTGAGAGGCTGCTGGCTGTAGTAGATACTAGAAACCAAGGCGCTACATTGATGAGAGTATTTACCACGACCACAGGAATATGCCGTGGCAGGAACGTAACTGTCTTCTGTAGTGCTTCCCATAGGCTACCAATCAGAATTCGAAATGCTTGAACTGCTCAAGGTTCCTTGGTCTCAGTTATGTCCTGTAGTGTATCAGAATGCACAATGCCCAGAGACTCCGACAGGACTTCCATACCCTTGGCTATGGTCAACGAATAGAGGATCTCCCGACCAAATGGAATTCAATGCTCCGATGCTCGCGCAGTAACGTTGATTATATCACAAAATTTCGGTGCCGATCAGCGATATGCCATACAGCTAATTATGCGAGTGCAAATGGAATCCTCGTTCCTTAGCAGTCCATAAAATCGAGGTAAGTTCCTAATGATACAGGAAGCAATACACATACTTGAAGCATAATTTCTACATAAAATTTGATACCACATCGCCTTGATCATAACTCGGAGAATTATTACCACTGCAGAAGACGCACTTTGTCAATAGCCACACCTTCTTTGATTACTGGCTAGTTGTAAAAGACGTAGTCGCTTAAGACTCTGTGTTATACATGAGCACGTTGACAAACCAAGAAAATGGGTATCAGTGTTATTCGGCCGAATACCACTCACGTACATCCTGCATGCATTGCAGTCCAAATGTAGATTTGTTATATCTCGCTAAACCATCGCAGAATCTGAGTTCACTATATCGTAACTCATGAGTGACTAATAACAGTTCAGATAAAGAAGAATGGCGTACAGCATCAACATTCAAAGTTACATCATGCAGAGCTACTATATAAAGGTATCGACAACGAGCTGTGGTGTTGTTATAGCGGGTACGACTCGACAATCAGCACACATACCGTAAAGATGATCCATGAGTTAACGAAGTGGCGGGATTTCGGACTTATTTGAGTTTAGAACAATATAAGTGTATACAACACAACGGAATAAGCCAAAAATGTAACGCACCTCTATTGTGAGTTAATAAGACGAAACGTTCACCTAATCTCTCTCGCTCATATTCCTATTCACAACATGTGGGAGGGCGAGTAATGCACATGGCAGAGAGGAATGATGTATTAGTGACAATTGGGGAGGAGAGCGCAGTATGAGGTAGTTTGCTGAAGATTTGGGATCTTGGGAAGACGGACAAGAGAAACCAAGCACCAGTGTTACTGAAATCTTCCAAGGTCCAGCCTAGCAACAAGCCTCATCCAGTGAGTGACTCACTACATTCAGCTTTCGCTCGGTGAGTTCGTAATTCAGGTCTCTTGCTTTGCACTTTCTTCTGCGCTGTCTTTCCTTGCCATCGGCTTGGCTGACGGGATGGTGCTACTTTACAGGCATCTGGACCAGCCAATGTCTTCCACAACGTCCCTGACTACACTCCCTAATACACGCATCATCCATGAATCATCCCCTGAATCTATCACTGGCCTTGGTTTCCGAGAATTTTCGGGTCCCACTAATGCCGATGCTAAGGATAACAACTTGCACCTTTTCATTGTGACTACGAACTCGGTATACTTGTACCACGTGTCCGGCAAAGGGGGCAGAGTATCCAGCGTGTTACTAGACGATATTGGATGTGGACTGGGATATGTGGTGATGGATTGGCGCGCCGAGAACATCGTGCTTGTGAGAGATGAGGAAGTATACACGTATGGTTTGCAGGGGAGGGAGCTGCCATATGGTTATGAAGGTGAATGGATTGGTACAAATTTAAGTCCTGGGAGGTGATGTTACGTCTTTCACAGGCTACAAGTCGTCGATCCACACCCACCTTAACTATGTGATATAGTTGTTTTGGTCACCTGCTACGCGAAAGCTTGCAGCACGAGTGGCAGGTGGTGACGGTGATGCGTCGAGGGTGACTGCATTTGACATGGAGAATAAGGTAGGTTGATATACCAGGGTGTTTGCGAAGGATATCAGAGAGGTGATCTCGGAGTGGGGAAATATTTGCATTCTCACAAATAATGGGCAGGTGCGTCCTAACAATGTTCAGAATTGTGCATTGCTTTTTAATCCGACGTCACTGCCCTTGCAAACTCTCCATGCTGTACGCAAAGGCTCTATACCCACTTGCACTGAGTCTCGCGCAGACACAACACCTTGGCGAGAGCTACGTGATATTCACCGTCAGCACGGTGACAACCTCTACACGAAAGGAGATTGTGATGGCGCGATGACGTACTATCTGAAGGCGATAGATTGGTTGAAACCGAGCTACGTCGTTAGAAAAGTCAGTGTTTTTTTCAACACAATAGGTCTGACGATGGTGGTGCAGTTCCTGGACGCTTAGCGCATTCACAACCTTGTTACCTATCTGCAAGACCTACATGCCCTTGGCCTCACAAACGCTGATCATAGCACTCTTCCACCACTCTTCTGCTTAATACCTACACCAAACCCAGAGACGTTGCACGCTTAGACAGTTTCATTAAAACAGAGTCTCGACGTTCTGGTGCGGCAGAGTCGAACGGCGACCTTCCATTTGACCTGGACTGTAGGCAGGCAGTATACTTTACTCATGCCAGCTACCTTGCGAAGCGCTATAAGCGACACGAAGAATACTTGAGGGTTATGGTTGAGGATGCTGGGGAGTATGAGGAAGCATTAACATATTTGAGACACTTGGGAGCAGCCGCGGTAAGTTCAATCTTCGTTATTTTTATTTTTATCTTTTTTCCTGTATGAGGCTAATACATTTATATAGGCGGAAAGTAACCTCGCTAGGTACGGACGCGCTATGCTAGATAATATTCCAGAGGAGACGACGCAGCTCCTTATTGATGTTTGCACCATTTCTGGACCCCTCACCATCCCCGAACCAGAGGATACCATTCCATAACAGTCGAGCACACCAGCAAACGCTCCATCGTACCTTGCCCTCTCCCGTGCACCCGCACCTGAAGATAAAGTTGAGGAATCCAAAGCGGACAAAGAGGACCTCACAGGGCCTCAAACAACGCAGCCAAGCGCACCAACACCATCCAAAGAGAAACTGCCTTCCCCTACACTCTATTTCGCGCATTTTGTTGATCACCCGTCATATTTTGTCCGTTTCCTAGAAAGCGTAGCTGCACGTTGGTGGGGACAGTCACTCCTCTTTCTTTCAAACACTAGTTCGGACAAAAACGAAGACCTGGGGAAGCACAGTCAGGCAGCAGTTTGGAACACGTTGCTTGAGCTCTACCTTGACGGGGGCTCTCCAGAACAACAGGAAAAGGCACTCAAAGTTCTGACGAGCAACACCTTACCGTGCGACAAAGCACACGCATTGATTCTTTAGAGCAGCTACAGCTATACCCGAGGTCTGGTCACACTTTGGGAAAAGCTGGGCATGTTGAGGACATTTTACGGTTTTGGATGGACAAGCACAATGCGAATCTTCCGCGTCAACAGAGGTCGTGCAGGCCCTTGTACAAATATGGCGAAACACACCCTCACCTCTATGAGCTGCTGCTGCGCTTCTTGACAAGCACGCCGGAGCTGCTCACGCGGCACCAGGCGGACGTGGAGAAGATTCCGGAACACATTGAGAAGGAGCGGATAATACCTCCGCTTGGTGTAGTCCAGATACTGAGTAGGAATGGGGTAGCGAGCGTAGGCCTCGTTAAGGACTGGCTGATGGGACACATCAAGGAGGCAAAGGAAGAAGTGCAAACTGTGATTTCTTTACATTTCTTTCTCATTTTCGCGCTGATGATTTTTCGCGTGATAGGACCAGCAACTGATCAGCTCCTACCGGCTGGAAGCGAATGCGAAGTTGAAGCAAGTGGCTGAACTAGAGGGCCCCATGCATGCAAAGGGGTTTAGTGTGACGCGCTGTTCTCAGTGCAGCGGGCAGCTCAATCTTTCCAGTGTCCATTTCATGTGCAACCGCTTACATCATTAGCGGTATGCGTTTCGCTTACTTATTAATTGACTGAACTATGTTTTTCCTCGAAACCTTTTCTGGCTATCTCGTGATGGCAGTGCTAACATACATTATAGGTCCCTGCTAGACCATGAAATCGAATGCCCGCTTTGCGTACGCCAACATGGAATCATCCAGGAGATTCGGGGGAATCACGAGATCAAACACGAGCTCTTCCTCGCGGATGTACAAGATAATGGGTTTAAAGCGGTTGCGGCTGGATTTGGCAAGGGGGTGCTAAATATGACTCGGTTGGACGATAACCGGTATTGCGCCGTGCCATACTTCTACCACATGATCTGCATCTGTTATGGTATTCAATAATAAGTTATCAAATCAATGTCGTTCATAAGCTCGGGTTGATCCACAAGCGATGGGGTATTTGCAGATTTCTCCACACATTGATTACTCGTCCTTCCATGAATTCTTCTTCAGCCGACAGACGTTCCATGTCTCCTGACCCTTCAAACTTGAAGCGAAATCCCTAGTTTGGCCGTTGTTCCATGTCCATTCAACAATGAGACTTTGTCCTTGAGATCTCGAGACTATGGAGATCAGTGAATCAGTATTGCTGATCAACACGCACCTAAATCATGGTCCTTCCGAGATCAAACTTCTTGGGGAAAATACCGCCAATACTAATCGAACCACAATCGAGAATCCACAATCGGTGAGGTCAAGTTTTTTTTTTTCATCTTTGTCAACAGAACGGTAGGAACTTATGAACTTTATACTTGAATACGCACGCTCATCACTCAAATTTCCGTGGATGAAGCTCAATATGATAGATCATGATCAGGATTCAGGACGCAAGTTCCCCTTATCGTATGAGTGGTCTTACAGTGGATAGAACAACACGAGTCGTATAGGCGCCGCCTCGAGTTGTTATCATAGATGGGATAGACTCGGAACCATTTCATGAGCGCATACTTCTCAGCGCTCACATGATCAGACGACAGGCAGCATTTGCTAACAAAGAATTGGTTATCAAGATTCACATTCCATCGCAGGGTTGGCCGGTGCTTCGCAAGCTGTTTAGGCCAAAGTTTTAATTGATAGTTGACCACGCCTCAAGACTTTCTCCATTTGATGCGTTTAGAGATGGGCGTTTATGTAGTGGATGGAGTCAGTATCTAGCATGAATTCGATCCATACTAATTGTGGCTTCCTGTGTGCCCTCTGGAAATTCTACTTACCGGAGCTATCGATGGATCGCGATATCAGACGTAACTGTTATAGTTCTTGGGTATAAGACGAAAAACCACTGTTGCTAAGAAAGTACATCCGCATCCTCTTGTGCCTGTACTTATCCTATCGATATGCCGGCTCTCACTCTGAAGACTATTGCACGTCAAGTCCCTCTTTACCTTCATCGATCCAGCTCACTATCTCCACTACTCAGACATCCGAGTCAACGTACGGTTCGTTCATTGTGGACGCAGGCATTAAAACCAGCCAAACCATAATTCCGACTGCTTCGGGTGGACTTGCAGATGTCTACAGATGCATATTGCTCGGCGACGCGAGTCTGGAAGAAGTATGCCACGCATTGATCTTCTCCATGCTTACGCTCACCTACGCTGAGGTTGCAGTGAAATACCCACGGTATTCAAGTCTTACAGACGCCGTAATTGACAAGATAAATCATGTATGTTTGGGTAGCCTCCGAAAGCTCCGCTCGTCTGAATTTCTTTGGAACACAGAATCTTGAACGCGAAATCAAGATCTGGACCAGATTAAATCATCAGTATGTATTGTGCTTGCGTGGCACCGCAACAGGTTTCGGTATATTTCGAGCATTGGTTTCCCCCTGGATGCCGAACGGGACGTTGAACTTCTATCTTACTCATAAGAATAAAACCCTTGCGGGGATGGACAGGCTTCACATTGTAAGTTTCTCTTTCGATGCCGATTACTGGAGCTTACTGTTTCTCAAAGCTTAAACAGATTACCGAGGGGCTCAAATATCGTAAGTAACATATTGGCTCGGAGACGACTGGCTTTACTGTATACTGCGGGCAGTCCACGACAATGACGTGATTCACGGCGATCTGACCAGTGTAGGTTTACCTACATTATACCTTTCGTGACCCACTGATGATTTTTATAGAAAAATGTCCTAATTGCTGTTGATGGGTCCCCGCGTCTTGCAGACTTCGGTGTTTCGAATATCATGGTTCAATCTGACCCGGCATTCTCCTTCCACAATGGCGCAGTTTGTTGGGCAGCTCCAGAACTCCTCTTCCCGGAAGGTGAAACCGTGCCATGTGCCACCAAATCCAGTGATATATATGCTCTTGGGTGTATCATGCTCGAGGTCAGTGTCTCATTTGCGTTTTTTTTATGACGCTGACACGGTATTCGCAGGTATTATACACCAAAACACCCTACTGGTGGATCAAGCAAGCCCACCAAGTCATAGCATCAAAGTGCAGAGGCCAAGAGCCCATTTTGAAAGAAAACACCATACAAATTCAAAAACATCATCTGGATTTCATGCAGCAGTGCTGGTTAATCGACAGTAAGAATCGTCCATCAGTGGAGGGGGTACTGGACTTTCTCGAGAGAGCTATCTCTAACGGGGACCCATCTACATAACGTTGCTGCTCGGAGCTGGTTCATTCTCATCTTTTTTTGTTATAGCTACCTCATTGGCATAGTATATAGTGTCCAAGTATGTAATACATGATGGCATATCCACAATTCAAAATTTTAACAGTATGAATAATGATATTTTGCAAGAGCAGAATTATATCCTGCTACAGTTCGCACGGGTACAATATCAAGGTCTCATCAATTCACTGATGTCTCAGATCTGGTAGAAAGTGATAAGAGAAAGGGTATATTCCTGCAGGTTATCCCGCAGCAAGTCTTGACGCTCAAAAATCTGATCAGGGAGCGGCCAACTGTGTATATTAGTACGCAGGATCCGCCGGCCACGGACATGCCTTACTAGTAGATACCTTTGAGAACTTCCAGAGCGCTGAAGAATTCTGTTTTACAATAGGTGATACTTGCAACCGGTGCAGCGTTAGTAGAATCCTTCGTAAGATTCTGATAGAAGACTTGCATTTTTCCACAAAGATTTCATGCATCGCGTGACATGAAAGTATGCGGCATCTTGCATCGAGGCGACTGCGGGAAGAACACTCCCGAGTCCCGACAGAGTCTCGTGTGTTCGGTGCACCTGCACGCGGGGATCTTCCGGAAGGAGCTTGATAACAACTTTGCACTGCTAATACTCCCCGTCACGGAGTTGTCGAGTTTCCGAAACAAATTTTCACCCAAACTGGCATTGATGATACGGTCTGAACGTTGAACCCCACTACGCGGCGTCTGTTGAGCGTCTGTATCCTCTGTTATATACCTGCAAACCAACCGCTTCAACAATGGAATCGCACGGCTGCCTTTTCCTTTTGTCACCTTGAACACTGTGGCCTAGCACGGTTATTATCCTGCAATGGGCAATCTCTTTTCTACAAATTCTGTGGTATGTTCTGCCCTTGTATTCAATGTGAATAGCAGTCACAGGGAAACCGCCAGCATTCTCCCCCAGTTAATTTCAAAACTGAGCCATACAATATTCCTGCGACAGAACTCAAAAAACTCCAGCTGTATGCCAATTGTGCAGGAGGGTTCGGTGATGTCTGGCTGTATTCTTGGTCTCGGCGACGACATCCAGTTGGAACGTCCAAGGTAATTGTGCACTCGATCAAAAATTCACAATATTAACTACTTTTTAGGTTGCGGTCAAATTAATCAGGGTTCCTCAAGCAGATGATACGGAACTGGTGAATAGGACAAGCAAGGTGTGAGCATGAATGAACTGAAAGTAGTTGTATTCATCGATTTCAACTCACAGAGGATTCGTCGCGAGGTTCATGTTTGGATTGACCTAGAGCATGATCATATTCTTACTTTCAATGGTATCGTTGATGGTTTGGGGCCACTACCTGCCTTGGTCTCTCCATGGATGGAAAATGGATCACTCGATAGTTATCTAAAACAGGGACCTGTTCTTTCCAAGGCCGAGAAACTGAGAATGGTACGCACCATATCTTGCATCACCGTGGGACGCGTTCTGACATGTTTTCAGTTGAGACAGATAGCGGCCGGCCTCAAGTATTGTGCATCTATTTTTTTTTCTGTATCTGGATCAGACATGCTCATCGACTTGTTAGTACACGACAAAGGAGTGGTCCATGGCGATTTAACATGTGTATGTGTTAAAAGTCGTGCCCAAGATGTCTCGTTATGACAACTCGATCTACAGACCAATGTTCTAATGAGTGCCAATCAGACGCTCCATCTTGCGGACTTTGGTCTCTCAGTGGTTCTTTCAGAGTCACAAAACTCCACCTTCAATTCGTGCCACCCAGGAAATGTGCGGTGGATGGCGCCCGAGTTGCTTGCTTTACCTGAGGAAGGGGGAGTGGTCATGCCAACCAAAGCTGCCGATGTTTACTCGTATGGTTGCATCATGCTTCAGGTGTGTTGTTCCCCATTCGATTCTACGTAAGTTACTGTGCTGATAATGTGCAGGTGTTTTGTGGATGTGCACCTTACCTCTGGCTACCGGATGCGTTCCGCGTTATTGCGGCAAGACTCACAGGAACAGCACCCTTCCGTCATTTCCGTGACATCGAGGACGTACACAAGGAGTTTTCGTTGAGATGCATAACTGTCGATTCCGGAGGCCGACCAGTAGCTTCTGAGATTGTAGGGTTCTTACCAACAGAGTGACAACAATATGAATGAACTAGCCTAGGATACTATGTACTCGGAACGACATCTATGTGCTTCCCGATTTATCACTGCCTTGTTTACATACACTATGAGGACCGGCATTGCATGTAGTCTGCTAACGCATTAGATTTAGTATTGCTCCTACATAAATACAAATACAGCTAGTGTATCATACACATACGACACCGAGAAGTGAGAGCAGACACGGAGCAATATGATATATGATAGGAGACACTTGAAGTTAATTTATCACCCCTTCTACTGATCAATGGACGAAGCTCGCTCTTCGTTGACCAGCACCGCCGCATGAAATCCAGGTGATTAGGCTCGATCTCGACGGTGTCAATGGGCTCTGTGCGCTTGAACTTGGCAGAAATAACGTGTACGACAGACTTCAGCCACCAGTAAGGCTGTTTCGCATAGTCAACCCACCACCCACGATATTAGAGCCCCTCGGCAATTTGTTTGAGCTATTGAAAACGTAGAAAGTTCCCGTACTCGACGTCGTAGACAAAACTCACCAAATCATGACAAAACATAAGCGGTCGATATCACATGCAGCTGTAAAGTAAAGTCTGTTCCTCCGAGAGCTCACAAGATGGCCACTCTCGTGCTAACTGCAGGCTGACAGCAGTTGACTTGGATTCCAACAGAGAAAATGTTACTGACACGGACGAGACGGATGACACGAAAAACCGCCGCAGCGCGTCATTATTCAGTATGTGTGTTGCCGGTATGTCTCGACAACTGAGTGAAGTTGATTCAGCAGCCTGCTAGCGCCCAGTTTGAAAGGGCATGGTGTTTTGAGAATAGTTCCGAGTCTACGCTAACCGTTGCACAATAATAGTTTGAATTCCGATAGTACGCACTCTACAGGTAACAAGGAACAGATATAACATCATGGTCACCGTGCAGCATCTTACAGGACTATAGAACTTTATCCTACAAAAGCGAGTTGTAAACACTTAATCGTGTAGCAATACCCTCCAACCTTGTCACTATAATTGGTACACACTATCATGGGATCTCACTACATGACAACGCTTATCGTGACCCCAGACGTCTCATGACATCGTCCATCGTCGGGCGATTGGCTGACATCTTATGCAAGCACGGTGAGAATTGTTGATACACCGCATGGCTCTCTATGTCCTTGAAAGGGGCACGTCCCTTGTATATCGCGCCCGTAACATGTGAAACACTTGTTATCCATGCGTAGGGCTTATTCCCAAAAAAGATCTTGGACTATTGTTAGAAGACTGTGTTCGTGTATTGACAATCCGACAGACCTGAAATACGATGCAGCCATACGAATAGACATCCCAAGCTTTAGTCGGCTTCTCGTCTTTAGCTTCGTCTTCGTCTTCATCTCCACTTCGGAGAGCCTCGGGGGGCATCCAACGTGCGTTTCCTGGACGACAGGAATTGAAGGTGGCGTTTTCTGCCTCGGCAAGGATCATCGATAGACCAAAGTCTGCGAGACGGAGGCGACCGGAGCTGTCAACCAAAACGTTGGTCTGTCATTGAATTCAGCTACACACTACATGTGGATTGGGATAAGACCTACCGCTGTCAAGTCGCCGTGCACGATACCCTTGCCATGCACTAAGTGGATAGTCTTTAGTATACGGTGCGATCACTACATCTGTCAACAACGGAACTCACAGTAACTAATACCAGCAGTTACCTGCCATACCTGAAATCATGGCTAAGTATAAGCTAGTGCAGTAGTCATTTGACACTTACAAGCTCTCGTTTTTCAGGGTCAGACAATTCCGAAAACTTATGCTTCAAGTAATCGTCCAGCGATCCTTCTTCCATCCATGGAGACACTAATGCTGGAAGTAGCCCGAATTCTTCAGCGAAAGTCACGCCCTCGAGAGGGAGAATGTGATCGTGTTCCAACTGCATCCAAACATAGGCCTCACGACGAATTTTCTGGAGAAGATGTATCAGCGAGTGGAACTGCATATCAATTTCTGCCCTAACCTTGCCTATCGCTTTCAATATCGTCGCATCTGTTAATCCGGGGACCCTAATAGATTTGACAGCAACCTTGATTATGATAAATGGCAAGTCTTCTACCCATGTCTAAACTCACGTCGCGTTGGGTTCCAGATGGTGTAGTCATTGAGCATTTCCAGATGTCACCGAGCCCTCCTCTACAGGTAGGACAGCTGCTATCTCTTGTGATGTTTTCCCCAGGAATAAGCTCTGGTTCGATTTTGAATTGAACTGACTCCTGCCAACGATATTAGTATATCATCAACGTGGAAGCAATATTGACTTACGGGGCGGAGACCACCCATTGTGAAGTCAAGCTAAAACTCAGAGTTCAAAATGACAGGTGCTAGGCAACTGCGATGTAGGGGACGAAGCGAGCATCCTTATATACCACTGCTGAAGAGACAAATTAACAATGCCGTCAACCCAAAAATACTACGACCATAAGATCTATGGCCTGTTTGAGCCTGAAACCTAGCGTCTTGATAGCAAGTATGATAGAAAATTCTGATGGGCTGTGTCATCGATGGTCTTGTCCATCAATGATTGATATACTGTACATCTTTCATCAGACTCGGCGGAAGATATCCTGCGATATACATGTTTGATTACATGGATCCCTAGGGTGCATTTTACACACGTACAAGATTAACACTCAAGCATTACATTCCTAGTTGCATACCTTTCTCGCGACTTCCCCATCCAAAGCTACGATGGAAGTAGCATATCCAAATTCATTATGCAATACACGTGTGCCGCTTGATCGTTTTTTGTTCCAGTTATCTATCGGAGACAGATTCGAACCGAGGCAAAGACTGTATCACCCAGTGCGATGACTGCGGAAACGGTATTGGGTAAGGCCGAGGATCTCGTGTATATAGTCCTGCACGGGATCAACATTCCTGTGTACATCAAGCTATATGGCCTTTATGTGGCTAGATCATAGCGCCTATCGTGTCGTTAAAGGGTTACGCCAGTGATTGTGTAGCGCCGATCGTAAAGCTCTCACCTATCATTGGCAAATATGATCAATACCGGAACACCAGTTGTAACAACATGATCTGAGTCCTGCGTGGCCTAGACCGGGATGGTGAGAATTCTTTTGTCTTCGATGAGCGAGCTCATCCCACTGGTCGACCGTCGAACACCTAGAGTGTCAGAACCGAAGCGCCAAGTACTACTTCTCAGACACTAAGCACATACCTTGGATGCATTCTAACCGTGATAGGCGCGCGCTTAACTCGGGAAACCATACAGTCCCGACATCAGACGTTCCAGAATCTATGCAGGAATTTGAACCGCGGATAAAGCCGGACGAGTGCAATTTTTGAAACGAACGCTTGGGCTTGATTTTCCTCAGCATACGCCTCATTCGAGGTTAAAGAAATCTAGTGTGACAAAAAGGTGCGACTGAGGAAAAAACATGAGGCTCCTTGAACTGCGTTCTTTCTTGAATCCCCAGTGTTGAAGAGCGAGTCATCTCAGATCTGGTGGAGAGCAATAAGAGAAACGATGTGTTCCTGTGGGCCATGATCCCGCAGCAAATCTCGACGCTCAAGAATTCGGTTTGATAGTAGGCACTGCCAGCCAGTGCATAATTAGTAAAAACCTTCGTGATAATCTGATAGAAGACCTAGTAATAGTATTATTTTTTTTCACAAAGATTTCATCCATCGCGTGACAGAATATTTGATGAGCGCTGAGTTCAAATAGAGTCTAGGCTAACGGCAGCTGCCGAGAGAATTTTGCACTGCCACAGTGCGGCCTGTACATCATTGCGGCAGTTTTTGAATTTGCTATCAGCGTTTCAGTCAGACTGGCATTGATATTGTAATGATGACAATTCACTGCCCCACTACGCGGCGTCCGTCGAGCGTCTGTATTCTCAATTATATACCTGCAGAGTCCAGACCAACCGCTTAACACCGACATCATCTACGCTTGCCTTTCGCCACCTTCAAGTTGAACGCTGCGACCTAGCCTTGTTATCCTGCAATGGGTAATTGCTGTTCTCAAAATGAGGTAAGTTCGTGCCCTTGTATCAAATGTGAATAACAGTCACAGATTACCCTCGGACCTCGACAGAGGGGAAATGGCAGTCCCAAACCCCCTCACCGAGTTGATTTCAAAATCGAGCCGTATAATATTCCCGCGACAGAAATCACAAAACTTGGGTTGTTTCCAAGTGGTACGAGAGCACTCGGTGATGTCTGGAAGTGTTCATGGTCTCGACGATCTCAGGATTCTGAGGTCACTGTGCACTCGATCGAAAATTCACAATATTCATTACCTTTTAGGTTGCGGTCCAATTAGTTAGGGTTCCTCAAGCAAACGACACGGAACTGGTGAATAGGACGAGCAAGGTAGGAGCAAGAACGAACTGAAAGTCATCGTGTTCATCCATTTCAACTCACAGAGGATTCGTCGCGAGGCTTATGTTTGGATTACCCTAGAGCATGACAATATTCTTACTTTCAATGGTGTTGTTGATGGCTTTGGGCCACTCCCTGCCCTAGTTTCTCCATGGATGGACAATGGATCGCTCGATGATTATCTGAAAAGGGAACGTGTTCCTTCCAAGGCCGACAAAGTACGCGAGTTCTGACATGTCGTTAGTTGAGACAAATGGGCCATGGCGGCCGGCCTCAAGTATTGTGCATCTAATTTTTTTCTGTATCTGATCAGACATGCTCACCGACTTGTTAGTACATGACAAAGAAGTAGTCCATGGCAATTAAACATGTGTACGTGTTCAAAGTCGTAGCTACGATGTCTCGTTATGATAACTCGATTTACAGACCAATGTTCTAATGAGTGCCGATGGGAAGCTTCATCTTGCAGACTTCGGTCTCTCGATGATCCTTTCGGAAGCACAAAACTCCTTCAGTCCGTGCCATCCAGGGAATGTGCGGTGGATGGCGCCTGAGATACTTGCTATACCTGAGCAAGGGGAGGTGGCGAAATCAACCAAAGCCGCCGATGTTTACTCATATGGTTGCATCATGCTTCAGGTGTGTTGTTTTCCATTCGATTCCATGTGAGTTACTGTGCTGATAATGTGCAGCTGTTTTGTGGACGTGCGCCTTACCTCTGGCTAACGCAAGCGAACCACATTATTCGCAGGAACAGAACCCTTCCGTCAATTCACTGATATCGAAGCGGTACACAAGGAGTATTCGTTGAAATGCATATCTGTCAGATCCGGAGATCGACCAGTGGCTTCTGCGACTGTAAAGTCCTTAGGAGCAGAGTAACAACAATACGATGAACTAGCCTAGGATGCTGTGTACTTGGAACAACATTTATGTGTTTCCCAATTTATTACTGCCTTGTTACATACACTATGAGGACTGGTATTGCATGTAGTCTACTAGCGCATTAGTATTGCTCCTACATAAATACAAATACAGCCAGTGTATTATACGACACCAAGAAGTGAGAACGGACACGATATATGATAGGAGACACTCGGAGTCAACATAAGGACAAGAAAGAGGATCACTTCAAAACCGAGACCTTATACAGGTGAAGTCTCGTTTGACAGTGCTTCTTGAAGATAATTTATCACCTCTTCTACTGATGGACGAAGCTCGCTCTTCGTTGACCAGCACCGCCGCATGAAATCCAGGTGATCAGGCTCGATCTCAACGGAGGAGTCAATGGGCTCTGTACGTTTGAACTTGGCAGAAATAACGTGTATGGCAGACTTCAGCCACCAGTAAGGCTGTTTCGCATGTAGGACCTGCACACAGGCGATGTTAGTCTCTCTAGCCAGCCCACACGAGACCACGAACCTGAAGCATGATACCGCCGAGAGCGTATATATCGGTAGATTTCGTGGCGCATTGTATGGGTTGCTCTTCTGGGGGGTCAAGAAGCTCTGGAGCGGCCCAACGTACTGAACCGGTGTGGTAGGAAAAGGCAGGGTTGGATTGTACCATGATATTGGAGATACCAAAATCTGCAAGACGAGGGGATCCATCGGCAGCAACCAGAACATTGCCCTACAATCACCATAAGATGATTCTGGTTGTACGGTATGGTATGTGTAAACTTACGTTGGTGAGGTCACCGTGGATTACGTCGTTATCGTGGACTGCAGAAAACAAAGTTATATTTGTCACATCCATAGTCAATCCATCACTCACGGTATTGGAGTCCCTCTGCAATCTGTTTAAGCTATTGAAAACGTAGTAAGTTCCCGTACTCGGCTTCATGGATAAGACTTACCAGCCGAAGCCTATCTATCATCGAGAGGGTCTCATGTGCATGCTTAAGGTAAGATTCCAAAGTCCCGTTGGGCATCCAGGGGGAAACAAATGCGCGAAATGGGCCGAACTGCTCTACAGTGCCGTGCAAGGGTAATACATATTGATGCTTCAACTTGGCCCATATACGGATCTCGCGGTCAAAGTTCTGCGTTTCAAAAGTTCAGATATGCGGCCGTCAGACTGGGCCACAACATACCTTGTTGATTTTGGCTTTGTCAAGATCACTTAGACTTGGGAATCGTGGGGATTTGACCGCCACCTGAAGTCATAATCAGGATATGCAGAAAAAGAAAGTCTATTGAAATACCTCATCCGAGCTTTCGCCGCGGTTCCATGTACACTTGTAAACATCTCCAAGACCACCCGAGGCAGTTGGGTAACCGGTTTGCCTGTTGATATCACCTGGTTTGATACAGGGAACACTACTACAGTTCCATGTTTATAAAGTCCTGCTGAGGAAAAGAAATGACATACGAGTCTTCCGTAGAGAGGCGCCCACTTGAAACATGATCGTCGGAAGTTCTATTGGGAGTGTCGACACTCGGGGTCCGGCTTGCGGTACTGTCATCAGCGGAATGCTGAATAGAAGATGCCTGGCCATTTGGCGCACGGCTAACCTGTTGAAGTGAGATGGATGGATGGCTCCACGGACGATGTCAACAAACATACAAGATCATGAAATAACTGTTGCAAACGTTCGAGCATGCTGACGGGAAATTAGTGGGAAACAGTGCTGTTCCCTAAAACCGATGAACTACAGCCTTTTATGCAGGAAACACTAGTGCGGCAATATCGCAAAGTTATCCTACCGATAATTACGGTGGAAGGAGGCTGCCTAGGGTCGAACTGAGGACACCACGACTGATACTGGTCGAAGCAACGCTGTGGTTGAATTCGATCAATGATGAACACCCTTCCACTACAGACGCTCGTATCAGCAGGCGTCAAAAACTCACTTCTGATCTGTGGCAGACAATGAAACATGTTGTCAGGGATGTGAAGAGCACTGGCAGCACCGGAAAGAGTAGTGATTGTGCAAGGAAACACCTACTCTCGGCGGCTTTGTTAGCAATAGATAATCCTTGTGGCAAAGAGATAGCGCTTCGAGAAAGATGTCATGATAGTTCTAACTTCGCCGGATACAAAACGTTGTTAATACGAGCCAGTCGTTCAGTGAGGGTCAGATTTTATTCTTGAAGGCTTCAGCCAAATCGAAGAAATTGACGGCTTGTGCCATCAGCCTTCTCTGACTGAGAAAAGCAGCTGATGACTGACTGCAATGAATTGACCCATCCCATTCTGCCTGCGCCAATAATTTTCGAATCACTTGTTCATATAGTAATAGGGCATGCAGGGTGTCTTTGACGCTTGCACAGGACCTGGAAAAAACATGCCCACGGGTGACAAGTTCTAAGATGAAGATACGCCGCAACGACCTGTGCTGTCGTTCGACCGATCACCAAGGAAATTGGCAACTGGGCCACATTGAAACAGCGCTTTAGTCGCGAGGTTTTTATGCAATATGACTCATGGCCCAAGATACGGAACAAATCGGGGATGTAAGGTGGCATGTGGCGGAGGGTGGGGGTAAGGTTCCGTAGCTCTGCTTCTTTTGTAATTCGATCATCCAGCGTTGATGCTCAGGTGTCTGCAACCGAACCCATGAGGAAGTCAGTCCTCCACCTTGATCAATCATGAATGTTTTCCTTCGTTCAAATCACCAATATTTGCAGCTAGATGTCTTGGGCTTGCATAACAAGACCCGCATCTCCTGATTATCGTGTAGACACCGATTTTCAGCTCATGAGTGACACAAGTCACCTGCACAACTCGAAAACCCTAAAGCTTCGTAAGCAGACCTAAATCGAACGTTTGCGGCATGTAATTCGATACTTATTTGTATATACCTTCATGATTTCCGCTCCAAGGGAAGTTCGGAATCATTGTCAGGCACTGGTTACTAATAGTACCACGCAACGAATGGATAAAGTGATGGGCTGGGGCGCAAGATCCACTGTGGTGGCAAGGGGTGGCTGAAAAGACGTTTGCCTGCCTTCCTCGCCGCGGCACAGAGATGCACCTATTCTTCCCTTTGGAAACCAGTCAAACAAAATCAGCATTGACAGATAAACCTCCTATGCTTATCGACACGCACACATACAGACTGAACCTAGGGACCTTCACGCCTTAAGGCGGCGTCAACGTCCCTGCAGCCGCATGGACCATTGTACAGCATCGATTAAAACATAGAATAGCCACACACCTCGAAGCACAATACAGTATGCAGTCTCCACCATAAGGCCCTGCCCCAGGACAAGAAGCGAGGGAAAAATTAACTAGGGACCAGGATCACCCGCAGCGCGACGCTGGCAAGAACGATGCACGACTCCTAAATATTCAAGTGTTTCTCTCCACGCACCTCGCACCACAATATTCCCTCTGCATCTTTGCCCGATATCATGCTGACGGAGTACGCGTTTATCTGTTCGACATATATCAGACTACATACACAGGGACACTTACAATAGATAAGCAGGAGTTAGCCCCCGCTATGTTTGACATAGGATCTTCGAGCCAAAATGACAATAAATGTGATTTTTTTTTATAAAAAAAACAAGACACGCTCACTGAGCCACGCATCGCGATTGGCAAGGCGCGTACGCTGAGTGGACTGCGGTGACTTCCTGAAAAGTTGAAATATCCGCCGGCCAAAACCGATTATGTAATTATGTACTAAATAATAAACCGTCAATGATATATACATAAACAAATAAAATAAAATCGATCAGCTCTCTGTTTGTTTGACTAGCGCAGTGACACGGGTTGATCCTAAGAAGTCCAGAACATCGACGGCAGAGGGGCGACGTCCTATATCACCCCAGCATTTTTCGATGAAATCCCAGAAAGAATCTGCGTCGTGCGGACTCGATGGTCTTGTAGGCTTCTTACCCTTCAGTATCAGGACAATGACTTGATGATCGCTTCGCACATCTGCATAGGGTGGTCTGCCTGTCATAACCTATGGAATCTTTAGTCGCAAACCAACACAACCACTAGGGAACGCCTCGAACCTGAAGCATGATGCATCCAAAGGAATAAATATCGCTTGCAGGTTGTGGAGTCAATGACTCTTCGCTCTCGGGGACCTCGAAGAGCTCTGGCGCAGCCCACCGCACGTTGCTTCTGATGTATGAAGTCCCTGAGAGCTCAGAGCACATTGTAAGAATTCCGTGGTCTGCTACGTGGGCATTGCGGTCCGAATCTATCAAAATGTTGTTCTGGCGCTCCATGTCAGAACTAGAAGGCAAGTATCAGACGACTAGTACATACGGCGGTAAGGTCACCGTGGACAACGCCCTTCGAGTGGACTGGAATGCTGTTACTTATTGTTTTCACAAACTATTGCAGATTCACATACGGTAGCTGATGGCTGCAGCGACTTGCCGTAACTAAGGTTCCAATGAATACCATGATGTAACTGCACTTCTGAGAAACAACTCACGATCAGGAGCTTTTGTTTGATGGTCAATGCTGTGAAATGGTGTTCAAGATATGTAGTGAGCGAGCCGTTGTGTGTCCAGGGAGAAATCATCGCTGGAAGTAGCCCGAATTCGTGACTGAAACCGAGCAAAGGCAAAAGATTTTCGTGATGCAGCTGCTTGCGTGCACGAAAATCGCTCAAGAGTCTCTGAAGACATGAGTTTTGAGCAAGCGTATCACATACAAAGGGGAAGCCGATAACGTACTTGAGTCACTCTGTCCCTGGAATCGTCGCCTGCGACATCAATCCTTATGGATTTGACTGCTACCTGTCACGAATTCAGATTGTTGGACAGCCATACGTGTAGCATGCTTGCCTCCAGGCGGTTGGATGCGATGTAGGTGCATTTCCACACATCCCCGAAACTACCGTGTGCCACTGGATGAGGCGACTCCTTGGATACGAATCCTGTCAGGTCGGGCAGGCTGCATTAGAAATTACACGAGGAAGTGCATTGTCAGAACTTGTTACAGGGTACAATGATCATGCACTTGCTGGTTGTCGGTATCGATGATCTCACTACCACCGATGGTAGCTATCATAACAGACGGACGGCTTCTCCACCACAACAATTTCCTCCCGATGTTCTCTAATAAAGACTTGCAGTGGGACAGGAAAGGTAGAATCATGTAGGTTGGTAGACTCATGCATATGCATTGTGCTCTTTTAACGAAGCAGGCCTGCACTACATACTAGTACTGCACAATAGCAGAAACAATAGTCAATTCATTAATTGTCATTTTCCATTCCACCCGCAGTCTCGTGAATCAAAAGTCACGTTAAGCCACGCTAGACACCCTTCCATTGAATCCGCAATATGTACTAGAACCAACGGCCGGTTGATTTTACCCGATAGACCTGCGAGACCTGCACCCGATCAACGCGAATATTACGCTTCATTTCACTGGAACAAGATCTTGCGGTCCTCACAGTAGCACTACCTGCAACAATAGTCACTCTCTTACTGCTTGAACCACCTTCTCTGGGCGTTCCACCACTGTGGTGTACACTGGTAGTAAATGAATCGACTTTAATTCTGGTGTGTAACGTTGTAGCCCAATTGCAAACAGAACGCTTCAATTCCCGTTGAAATGCGCGTTAATGCAGAAAATCTGGAAATTGGCCGGTCTATATAGACTTATCACAGACTCCGCATGCAGGTCCGTGTTAAGTCTATATAGACGACCAATTCCATGTTCTCCGTTAATGGATTGTGGAATTTCATTCTCCGTTGACCATCACGTCACAACGGTGACTACAATGGCATAGCCATAGCCATATTGATATGGGCGGTGTTTCGTTTTGAGACATGATACACGTTGATGAAACAAAGTAGCCTGCATGATCCGTATATCACGTTTCAGCTTGTGTAAATGGCCAAATAAAATATATTTACACTCATTCGTGACCAAGACTACCAGGCAACTTGAATATCATGATAGCAAGCCTTGGAGTGTGACGGTCGAATTATGCATTACCAAGATTGATTCTCCTAAATCGACGAACCCTCATTTTATGTGCACGGAACCCCAAGAAGTCGATGGCCATGCTTGTCTGATACAAAAACATGATTTGAAGGCCGTCGCCGTAAACGGCAAACACTAGCGGACGATCAGACAACGAATAACGTGGATGAGCAAATGGAATTTAACGGTGAGGTAAGAGATAAGATCCGCAACGTATGAGTAACGCAGTATGAGTAACCAAACATTCGTCAATACCGTGTGGTGTTCAATCGCGGCGTCGATTACATGCGAAGACCGTAAGCCCTGGGTTAACACATAGCATCTCTATAGTGAGACATCAAATCTCGGACATCAGCAATAGGAGGTCGCTGTGATGACTCAACCCAACATTGCTCGATAAAGTTCCAGTGACAATCTTCAATAGCAGGGATGTCTGGACGCTTAGGCTTGACACCTTTGAGGATGGCCACAACCACCTGGTGATCACTGCGAATGTTACAGTACGGCTGCTTGCCTGATAAGACCTGACGCAAATGAGAACAAGAGCGCTGTAAATACACGTTGTCGACAGACCTGGTATGCGATGCATCCAAATGAGTAAATGTCACTTTCTAGTCTTGGTGAGCTAGATGCATCCTCGGTGTCTGGAACTTCGAAGAGCTCAGGCGCAGACCATCGTACGTTACTCCTGATGTAAGAGGTCCCGTTCAGGTCGGAACATGTAGTCAAGAGCCCATAGTCTGCTACAAGAGCCCTTCCGTCTTTATTGATGAGTACATTGCTCTAAGAGGAAACGGAGACGTGAGCAGTGTCATATATCTGCATACCACAGTTGCTTACACCTGTGAGATCCGCATGAACCACCCCCTTAGAGTGGACTAGGCACAATATACTGTCAGCTTATCTTAATGCAATGCAAAATGACATGGCATACGATATTGAAGACCAGCAGCTACATCAGCAAGCTGTTAAGGCGCTCTTGAGTCGTGGTGCAGCTAATTATCATTGAGGAAGACTTACCAAAGTGAACTTGTGAGCCCCAGAGAGACTGTCATAGTTTTTACCAAGATACGTGCTCAAGGATCCGTTGGTCATCCATGGAAATACGATGGCTGGTACTGGACCAAATCCGTAGGTAATCCCGTACAATGAAAGAATGTTATCATGACGCAGTAGTTTCCACTTGCGGAAGTCATCCATTAACCTCTGCAAATATTCTCATATCAATATTCGAGCGAGTGTTCTACATCATGTCGGCGCACCTCGTTGACAATTTTCTTGAAACTGTCATCCTGAATTTCGATCCTGACACATTTAACCGCCACCTTAAGACTCATCATCAGATGTCAGAATTTACTACGAAACCCGAACCAACCTCCACATTGCTATCTTTGTCTGAGAACATGCATTTCCATACGTCACCGAAACTGCCCTGGGCAGTAGCATATGCCAATTCCTTCACGACCTTCGCAGTAAGATCGACCGGGCGTCTGAAAATAATTTTGGTACATAAGTCAGCTTCATTCAAGGTAAAGCCCGTCTACTCACTCATTATCATTGGAGCCTACATCCAGGTGTGTCGCGCCCGACGTTTCTGTTTCCAGTTGGACTTTCCGCCATTTCTTAGGCAGCACACTCAGGCTGAAAATCCACGCGGAAAGAGTATTCATCTGTCACCCTGGCAACGTAATGAGGTCAAAATCTTATAGGCCCGGGGCAGTTGGGGTAACCACAGAATGAGAATAAATACTAGGCTTTGCGAAATCCCTCTTTATATCGACGTTCAAGAGGCTGAGTGTAGCGGCGCTAGACTTATGGGAATTTGCCACGACCACCGCAATGCCCCGTCGCATCAACGTAAAAACGGTTGGACAGCCGTCACTTGTGTAAATTTGGCAAAGGTCAACTTGAACTGTTCAAGTCTTAGCTGTATCCTGTACAGTATCAGAATGAACAAGTCCCAGAGACTCTGGAATTCCATGCTCTCGGCTATGCTCCCAATAAATTGAGGATCTCTTGACCAAATGCTTAAGATAAGGCGAACACTACGCATTTTTTTCGGTGTTCTCGGGCCGATGTTCGCGCAGTAACGTTGGATGTATAAAATTTCAGTGCCTACTAATCATCCGAATGCAATGGAACTCTCGTTCCTCGGGAGTCTTGGAAATCGAAGAGGTAAATTCTTGATAATATTTACAGGAAGCAATACACGTACTTGAAGTATAATTGTCCATACGTGATATCACATCATATTGACAAACATTAACGTTAACTGCAGAAGAAGCACCTCATCGAAAACCACACTTTCTTTGATTACTATGTAGCTAGCTGAAAAAAGACGTAGTCGCCTAAGACTCCGTGTTATGCACGAGCACGTTGACAAGTAAGCCAAGAAAGTGGGTATTACTCTTATTCGGCCGAATGCCACTCACGTAGATTCGCTATATGATCTCGCTAAGGCATCGCAGAATTTGAGTTCACTGTATCGTAACTCATGAGTGACCAACAGTTCAGATGGAGTAAGAAGAATGGCGTACAGCACCAACATTCAAAGCTGCATGCAGAGCTACTAGCTAATTATATAATTACCTTGTGATGCCGAAAGAGCTTCAAGCTTCAAGCTCGGGTCCCAACTGAGATTTGTCTGCTCGTAGCGATATGCTGGTCTCAAGACATAGTATAGTAACACAGGGAGCAGCCTTAAGATGGAAGGGATCGTGTCGGACCCAAGATCGAAACTTGAAATGTTGAAGACTCACGTAAACTCATCCTGAACTATAATTGAGAGAGATCATCACCATATCATAGTGCGTATCCGGATCTCGCGCTGCCGCCTGGTATATTTGTGGGGTCTCTGAATCTTGACTCGCGGCGTATGTCGCTAGTTCATAGCCATCGATATCCTATGTAGCTATGAGGCGACGATCATGATACAGAGTACGCATGAGGCGATCAATTGACCAGTCTCACCTTTGAGACTGTCACAAGGCGGTTGGTGACGGATTCAGATTATAGCCATGCATCAGGGAAACGTAATTCACTACAGAATGCTACAGAGCGCTCTGTAACATTCCGTAGCACAATCCAACCCGCTGATAGGCTGATTCAGTCGATATTGAATAGATCTAATACTTGATAAACGTCAGAACATATGCGCTGTGGCAGACCGTGCGCGTGATCAGCGGAAAAAATTATGATGTTCACAAAATCAATCATGGTGTGGTAGTAAGTAAACCGTAATTACAAGTTGTAAGGCTTTAGACCACTGCCAATGGTCCTGGCAAACAAATCTTGAAGCAGTGGATTAGAAGTACTATTATGTGACTCATCTGGAATACTAATCTTTACTTGAACCGATGCAAGTCACGCTGACAGAATGTTCATGGATTTATATACTGACTTTCTGGAATAAAAGATGAAATGTTAAGACGCAGCCATAAGTGTCTCGAGTCTACATAGCCAGCCGTAGTATGTTCCTCTAAGATATTTCTCACGCTTGCAGTGCATGTTGACTAACGACAATGAAGTATGCCACAGGAATGACCTTTCGATTGCTGACTATGGTTCTAAGGAGGCCCTTGGCTCACTAGGGGTAGAGCACGGTGTAACAAATCTAATCGGTGTAGGTATGACAATAGATGCCGAACGTCCTACCGCAAAGTGCTGTGATGCTGTTAAAATGGAGACCTTCCTGCGCAACCTGGCGCAACCCTATGTCAAATCTATGATGTGAACTACTATACATCGGCGGATGTTTGGATGGGTCACGGTGCATGTATTGCATTCGATGGCGCTAATAGGGACTGCAGCTGTGAAAAGCGATTGTAAGAACGTCATACATCCAGCGCAGTTCTCAGGAGTGGGAGAAAACAGGGTCCCAGGAGATAGAATAGGGTCTACCACCACAAAGTGTATTACAATTCTTACCTGATCCAGTACCACTGCCGAGGGCAAATTGCCAGATTCATCGCCTGTATGGTGTTCAGAATCCTGATGAGTAGCAGCTTGACTCGGCTAGATGGAAGTTCATTGAGAAGTACGACAGGTTTTATTGGTAACACGTACACCTGCGACTAAGTTCGTCATACTCGACCCAGATCCTCCCGCAGCACCAGTCCCTGTACCACTCTGAGTCAATCCCGTAAGTCCCTCCTCTCTCGGGACAATATCTATGAGGAAGTCGAACTGGTCTGACTTCGCAAGCGCCTTGGCAATATCAGCGCGCGACAGTGTTCGACGCTTATTTGAGTCAGCAATAATAAATGCACGAGCAGTTATTTCCGAAATAAAGACTTTGATAGGGAAGTTGCGTGAAATTTTATGTGACAAAGTGGGGAAGAGAATGTGAACATCAAGTTTTTGTGACGAAAAGGATAACACCGGACGCACTTTCACACGCTTTGCAAAATAAGATGGGTGCGTCTGCTGCGATCATCTGTGAACGTAGTAAGCGAGAACTCTGCATTGTTCTATGACGGAGTGACATACCTTTACGTCTGGATCGCTCTTCATGACTTTCTTAATGCGAGCGAGAGGGAGTGGAGGATGCCTGTAGTCTGGTGTCTCTTGCTCTGCTGCATCCACTTGCCGCTGCCAAAATGAACGAAGGAAATCATTGAGGGGCTCCCCGGACTGCACGTATGGGGTGGTGGGCGACATTAAAGAATAGGTGGGAAGATCTGTCGATCGTATAGGGTATTAGTAACCTTAACCCTAGACTAAGGGCAACCACAATTTATTGGGCTTGCTCAACAAGCGCCCATCCAACCAGCTTTATTTCTGAAAATTTCCACTTGCCACTTTGTCACATTGGACGCGCTGAATTTAATATGCGGGCCTTGGTAATGTAGAAAAGACTCTTCGTTGCGGGAAACTATACCTGCTGTGACTATGCAGCAGACTCAATCAAGCTTGGTATGAGTTACAGCTTCAATATGTGCAAGGCTGTGTCTACATATACATAAGAGGGTGCCCTCTATTCAATCTCAATCCCATGGAAAGTGTTTTGAGAGTTCAAGTGGATAGGTCCGTTAATATCCATATCATTTATTTTCATGTCATAAATAACCATCTTAGTTTGGTTGACTTGGAGAAGTCACGCAGTATAGAACAGCTGTCTTCCATGACGATAGTATGCCTAGGGGAGGCGGAGAAGTTGCAAGTTCATATCGAAGTGGCGAGCTGCGGTGAAGAACTCCAGATGCAAGGTCTTGATGGAAGGTCAGGGTTTATTACTTGCACGTTCCCAGACCCTTGATCCGTGGACAAATATGTTTTTGGCCATCAATCACAGGCAACTACTTCACTATATCCCGCAAACTCCTATCACTGGCAGTCTGTCGATTGCTTTTGATGCATGTGGTGGATTAGCTCTGCGTTAAATATGGTTCAATTGCAGCGTGGTGAGTCGCCTAGCGCTCGTCTGTATCCATGAAGGAAAATCATTTATGTGCACCAACCTTTCTTACTGTGTCTTTCCCCATGTGCAGTAGTAGAGCATGGTCTCTTCATCCTTCATCAGTATTATTTCGTGGTGTTGGTCCATTCTTTGTTTTCAATTCTCAAGAGGACTGGCCGGATCAGATCCATGCATTGGTAGTAAAGATCCGAATGCGGACCATGATGATGTTCCAAACGATGCTGTCAATGGACCATCTCGTGCTTGTTGTCAAGAACATGAGCTTTTAGAGCGCAAGTCTGTAAGTGATTCTTGAAGATCCTTCCGCTGTGGTGCATCTTCATACCGATTTATGGAAGAACTGATTTATACTACGGCAGACTACTGAAACTTTGGTCTCGCCCAGAAGTCAAGACTCAGCTGGCGATGTTTTACGTGCTAGATTCTCGTCTGGTACAGCAAGTTTACTTTCTAGAATGCCAACTCAACTTTACACCACAGATCCACACCATAAACCAGTGAAACGAACATACAAGCTCCAAGTTTTCTCCAAAATGCTTCAGACATTCCAATTTCGGGTGACGTCACTTGGAGTATCTCCCATCAGTTCTCCACAGTCAATTCCCCACCCGAATCTTAATGATCAAAGAAACCAGTGAGACCTCAGCCAAACATTACGGCATCGAGGCTGACTTCAATGATTCAGAATGGATAGCCTGCCTGATCTAACTGGCCAACTAAACCGCACAAGTGCTTATGCTACTTCTTTCGGAGGCCTGAGTGACATCTGGCGATGTACATGGGACAGAAGTGGTAGCATTATCGCAGTGAGTGCGTCCCGATGTTCATGTTCGAGTCTGACGAAGACATACAGGTAGCTGTGAAGTCAATCAGGAGTCAAGCACTAGATGAAGATGATGCGAAGAAAAAGAGCAGGGTGCGTAAGTGTACTCCGTACAATTCGGTGTTGCTTATTGGTTGTTATAGAGGCTTCGCCGCGAGCTCAAAGTTTGGTTGAGACTTAGACATGATAACATCGTTCCACTGTACGGCACTGTATCAGGCTTTGGCCAATTCGTTGCCTTGGTTTGCCCCTGGTATGACAACGGATCGCTTTCAAGTTATCTGGAATCCCACGGCGAAAATTTGTCCATAATCAATCGTTTCCAACTGGTCTGTCTTGTATGCAATGATCTGTCTGAAAGCGTACTCATACCTTCGTAGCTCAGTGACATTTCCGCGGGTCTTCAATATCGTGAGTGACTAGCTTAGTTTTGCAACATAGTTGATAATGGTTCTTTTGCCCAGTTCACTCGTGCTCTGTTGTTCATGGCGACCTTACTGGGGTGAGAAGAGGGTTTCCTGAATTTGTTACTGGTGATATTCACATCTGCAGTCCAATGTCCTCATCTCATCCGATGGGAGGGCTCATCTATCCGACTTTGGTCTCTCCGTTATAGTTGCGGAGTTCGCGGGCACGTCATATTTCACGTCTGCCTTGAATGGCACTGTGCGATGGATAGCACCCGAACTTCTTGCAATTCCTGAAGAAGAAGGCGCAATCACGATCCCGACATCAAACAGCGACGTATATTCGTTTGGATGTATTTTTTTCCAGGTTTGCCCAATATTACATTCCTTCAACACTGAGCCTCACCCTTGCGCCAGGTATTGACGGGAAAAGCACCTTACTCCGAGTTCAAGCGAGACGCACAAGTTGTGGTCGCAATTTCTCTCGGAACAAAACCGTTGCGTCCCGAGTTTCCCACGATCATTGATAGCCATTGGAGTTTTATTCTGAATTGCTGGTCTACTATCGAGGACTGTAGACCATCTTCTCAGCAGGTAGATGAATACATCAAAGGCCAGCTTCACTTCTTACAGCATGACACATCATCTCTCGACTAATCTCTTGAGTCTGGCTTACCATCATGACTGTCTGTACGGACCTTACTTCTTACTCGTGCAACAAAACCTATTTGAACCAAGTCCTGTATTCTCGGATGTTCCTCTATATAGTAAGCACCGTATAACAATCATGGCTGCAACTCTTCATTCGGTATAACTAAGAAGTGGGCCACTCACATCAGTAATCCGTCACAGGCTATTATCTCATACAACGAGGCCACGCTCTCCATGAATAGCTCCTGAATGTTGTTGGAGCACCCAAATCTGTCGTGAAGAAGCCAGTGTCACAACACCTTGCATATATGTCATAGATCGCTCTGATGGCGATCATCCACTATCTAACACTGCTCACAAGCACTGTCGTTCGTCTTACCCAAATCATCTCAGTGCTGATCACCTCATTGCTAGAGCGTCAAGGATGACTTGATGTCTCGCTCGGGATGGTAATTACAGTGAGCGCTCTTTGCGTCTGAATCTTATTCTTTGAGTTTCTCCGGCACCGGTATCTCAGGCTGAACCTGACAGGTCAACGTGCCAACCATAGTGATCTACCAGATCTAGGGCCTGTTTTCTTGCATAAAAGGTGGTATAATGACTTGTGTGGTACTGTACTTATTCTCTTCCTACCTTACTGTTACTTTCTGATGTCGGAACAGAACGCCGAGTCACCAGTTAGCCCAACTCGTGGCTGGTCCACAAATCCAATTTGGGAAGCAGTCCTCCGTATTCTGCCCTCCTTGAAGCCACCTGTGAACGGCTGTTCCGATCCAGTTGTCCTAGTGTGTAATTCTACTTCCTTTGTCAAGAGTAACTGTCGAACCATTTACTGCAGGATCAACCTTGGATCGACATGTTGCATCACATAGAGGCATTACAGCGAGTCACAAGCCATGAAGCTAGTGAACCAATGTTGGTGGCTCAGCGATTCTAGCATTTCACTCTAAATCATATCATGGCAAATCAGAAACCTTCACCCAATAGACGGCCTTCCTGATCTCAGTGGACAGATCAGGGACAAGGGTGCCTTCCCTGACAGCATTGGCGGATTCAGCGATGTATGGAAATGTACATGGATTGGGAAGAATATGAATCTAAAGGTTGGTCTGAATTACGCCCGTCAACCCCGCACTGACTGTCCTCTAGGTTGCTGTCAAAACAATCAGAGTTCAACCTGATGTTAATGATAGAGAGAAGAAGAGTAGGGTAAGCTGTCTACATCCTCTGTGATCCCACGATCTCATTCCGTTTTAGCGATTGTGCAAGGAGGCAAAGATATGGGCCACCCTGGAAGATGCACACATTTTGCCGCTCATCGGACTTACATGGGGGTTTGGTCCTCTTCCAGCCCTAGTTTGTCCATGGGTTGAGAACGGTTCACTGCAATCTTATCTGGAATTGAAGAATAGGGATCTCTCTTTGGAGTGGAGATTCCACATTGTAAGTACCTGTTCGATCCTCTGATTTCACCAAACAAGGCCGACTTACGTAGTTGATACTCCAAGCTCCTAGGATTGGTATCAGCGATCTCATATCGTGAGTACTCTCGAACAAGTACACGGCGATTTTTTATTTATGGACTTCTAGTTCATTCGAAGGACGTCGTACATGGTGACATCACAGGAGTGGGTTCATGAACTATAATCATGATATTCATTCGGGATTTGACATTTTCATCTGCAGTCGAACATACTGATTAACGGACGAGGGGAGCCACTTTTATCAGATTTTGGCCTCTCCTCTCTGGACGTGGAGCTCACGGGAAATTCATACTTCACATCCTGCAAACCAGGGAATGTACGATGGGCTGCGCCAGAATTGTTGATTCCCCTGCAAGACGGATCTCCGTGCCGTGCGTGTGTAAAGAGCGATATTTACTCTGTGGGCTGCGTGATGCTGCAGGCAAGTCAGTCAGCCATGTTGTGGTAGAATATTGCTGATATGATGTTGGTTCTACGACAGGTACTTTCTGGCCGCGTGCCCTACGATATTTGGACCGATTTTATGGTCATCAACGCGAAGTTCAACGGCAAGGAACCTCTACGAATTCTCGAACCTCCCATTGATGACCGTCATTGGGAATTCATGAGGCGCTGCTGGCGTAAGAAGCAAGAACGATCTGTAACAGTCAAGGATATAGCCGACTTCATCAGAAGGGAACTGGATGATTCACGGAAGTTTGGAAGGTTATAACTTGAAGTGGTTGCCTAGTACATATACTGAGTATTCTTTACTGCATTTGACTCGTTCTATCGAGTACTATATATATAATATGTATCTGTGTTGTATCTGTGCTAGTTTAGTCTCGCCGGCGGCCGCCGCGGCGATAACTTTGAAAAGGTATCTCAGAGAAGAACCAGCGCAAACAGCAACTTGAACCAAACTTCGAAGTTGAAATGCTCCATGCTCCAACCCCCCAATATCGCAACATCTCATGACGCGTGTACGGAGAGAGGCGAATTGAAGCTTGTAGCGGGAGAAACGCTTGCCATAATGCAGTGACGATGAATTATGTGAAAATTTGAATCATTTCACACTGCTAGCGCCTTAGCGACTATAAGTTAACGTACATTTGCATTCCTCTCAAACTTTGCCCCCGAAGTGCTGGCACTTACTGTAACTGATGTCTGAGTCTGAACACGACAACCGTTTTTCAGCCCAGTCATGGGTTGGAGCTGTCATTGAATTCCTCCGACAGTTGCCTCTTCCGAGTCCGGGCTGGTGGCAAGATCAGGTAAGTTCCACTTTTTTTCTATGCTCAAGCTCGAGCAGCACCTCCTCAGTCATTCGTGTACCTTTTCCACAGTATGCTGACGCGCATTGCATTCGAATTAGGCGCATTCCACCAACCGTCAGACAAGGTATCATTCATTTCTACTCACTTGAAGTCACTTCAACACTAACGTACACCGTGTTATTCAGTGGTATTCTTACGGGACAACTAGAAGGAAGGGGATCCTATCCTACAACATACGGAGGGTATTGTGATGTGTGGAAGTGCAGCTGGAGGAGGAAGGATTCCGGAACCATTGGGGTATTTATATCTCATTGGTGTTTGAGAGTACATTAACTGACGAATCACAGGTAGCAGTTAAATCTGTTAGGATACACGGAAGTGACTTAGACAAAGAACGGAAGAGCAAGGCGAGTCCTTCGGGTTGGCCTTCCTGCTGGTGTACTCAATGTGAAATACAGAGATTGAGCAAGGCAATTGAAGGATGGCTGGAATTGGATCACGATAATGTGATGCCAATTTTCGGCATGGCACTTGGATTTGGCCCATTACCAGCCTTGGTGTGCCCATGGATGGAGAATGGCACTCTGACACATTACTTGGAGCAGAACTACCATCAAATTACCGCCTCAGCCCGAAAGGCACTGGTAAGCAGTCATCACAATTATCACAATTGCTGTCCCATTTCACGAGATGATATAGCTTTTGGAAATCATTTCCGCAGTTCTTTATCGTACGCATTGAACTTTCTTCTACTACTTCCGCCAATTTAAGTTTTTGTGACAGTGCATGATCATGGCGTTATCCACGGAAGTCTTTCTGGGGTATGGATTATTCGATCCTATTAGGCGACATTAATTCATCGTTTTAGTCGAATGTCTTCATCAACGATCTCGGACGAGCATGTGTGGCTGACTTCGGGATGGCAGCTCTACTATTGGAGTTTTCTAGCGAGTCATATTTCTCTTCTTCCATTGGAGGGGCGGTGAGATGGATCGGACCAGAGCTTTTCCAAGTTCCGGACGACTCAAGCGATTCTGTGGGCTTCCCTAGTACTCAAGGTGATGTATATTCCTTTGGATGTATCATGCTTCAAGTGCGTATTTTTGCGTGTCAGTGAATATGTCCTCAGCATCGCCCCTAGGTTCTTTCTGGCAAAATCCCATATCATTACTTCCAGCGTGACACACAGGTCTTCTTTGCGATATCTACAGGCGTCAAGCCATTGCACCCAGACACCTCCTGTGTCAATGACGCTCAATGGAGCGTTATCCAGCAATGCTGGTTGGCTCCACGACAACGCCCCATTATGGAAAAACTCCACTATCTCGTTAATGAACTAGAGGTCTGATTCATGAGGCTTCCTTGTTACGGCCTTACGAACCTTGTCTCCCTAGGTGCTATAGTCCTAGCACAGCACGAACCCGCGATGATTTGCACTATTGATAGGTACCCACCGCCAAGCTCGGGTTCTTGGAGTTCGCGTGTTATTTTTCCATAATCACTTGTAATGTTTCATATCCGTGCTATGTCCCAATGTCGAATACTGAGCGTGCGCAGGCTGACGTATCACATTGTTGTCGACACTGTTCAAGAGACGCTGATCCTAAGCATCACATCAGCACGTTTTTCAAGACATCAGCCTCCCACAGTTTCGCCACCGTCGAGGGCACGATGGGTATGCGTGTTGAAGTATCTGATATCGGAAATGACGTGACTCATATCCGACTTTGGGTTCTGACTTGAGTGGCGACTTGTGGCGACGAGCTATTGTACCTATTGATCACCGGTGTGTCATGCACATGCGGGATTTGGGCATCAATGTGTCCATGAATCATAAATCCTCAGCTGTCCATACACCTGACTTGATTCATTTCATGATGATCCGAGTTGCTTCACAAATGGAGATAGGTCATGGCGAGAGTTTCAAACAGTGCAGAGTCAGGTATGTATCTCCCCAAGCTTGCGCCTACATGCCATCCTCGCTTAGGAAACGAGACCCTGAAATAGAATTGAAGGTATCTGTGGTTTCGTACATAAGACTGGGCCATTGAATGTGCAAAAATATCCTGGTGACGTGACAATCTCAAATACAGACGTATGAGCAAGATAGGGTACTAAGAAACGGCCGCATTCTAGTTATCTAAACGCTTGGTGCCTGGAGGGTCAGGCCTCAGGCCTCAGGGTGAACCTAATGTGCTTGTTTTTGGACACGGTAGGCAGGACTCATTGTAAATAATGCGTGGCAAAAGTCGTACAGGACATCGCTTCGAGTGATGCAATTGATTAGCGAATTTCGGGGTTTATTCGAATACTGCTACCAATTCAGCGACGAGTTCGGAGAAACGTGACTTCAGTGCTCGAGGGTCGAGGTATTGCTGTACTACAGGATGCCCACCATGATATCATCGGCGGACCATCTGAGTGAACATACACCGAACCTGGCAGACTACATGCAGTTGATGAATGATCAAATTGCAGCGGGAGTACGGCACGCCCAGAGAAAGTATTTACGGAAACGGCGTTAATGTTCTTCCTCTGCAACAAACACCGCGGGCTGAAGATGTCACAATCACAAGTGTATGTGTGCAAAACTGACAAGAGAAGACGCATTTCAAGTCAACGCCAGCGATTTGATAGGTCTGATAGAGAAGGACTCACTTCTTAAACAGCAACAGAGTGAATAACCAGAGGATACGCACAATTTCTATGTACAGCTCGCGCTTATATTTCCATCTTGACATCGACTTCGTGCGGTGATTGGGTCTCTCCTATGGTTTTTTGATGGCGTATGCTATTTTTCACGCATTGCCATACTTCCGCCGCGGCTTCTCGTGCCACCTCTCTAGCCCTTACAAGTTCAGCCTGATCAAATGATGACCCAGGGCGAGCGCTGTAAGTCGACCAAACATCCTCGCAGGGTGGAGCACTTCCTTTTATCGGCCCTGACAGCGCGAATCCAAACAAGAAAGCAAAACATCCACCTCCCTCAAGCACAACATCGTCGGCTACGTCAACCTCCACGGAAATAGCGCTTCCCTTCTTCACTCTACCGACAGGAACTGCGCAAACCACACCCCGCATCGCGATTGAACCGGCGTTGATAAGAGCAAGCGTGCATGCATTTATTTCGGCTGCGAGAAGGGCATAACCGGGGGTCGGATTCGTCAGGGCTTGAACGACGACCTGGATGAGAGTGCGAGGATGTTGTGCGAGAAGACAGGAACGTTCTACGATCTCTCGTATTGCCATTCCACGTGATTTCTCTGCCGTTCCTGGAACCGATGAGAGTGGACGGACGTACACTTCGACGGTTGCGCGAGCGGGGTGCTCAGCTGCTAGACGGGCTGTGATGGGACCACTGACTGAAGCAAGAGCTGAGCAAGAAGGGTGGAAGGAGAATCTAGCTGATCCGTCGACGCCATCGAGGCCTTCTTCGGAGGAGATGCTGATCGATCGCAGAGCTGTGGATGACATGGTCGTATTAGATGGCCGTTTCAAGTTGGATGTTCATGTTTTTGCAAAGGGAGGGAAACCTAAAAATGGGGTTAGGGTTCCTGATCAAATTTCTCACATGCTCATGGAGGATGAACGAGTTCTCGCTTATATCTGTAAAACTCCTTTGCCTTGATATTTTCCAAGGCTGGATCGCAGCATGAAGAGAGTAATAGAACACATTATTGACATGGAAGTACTCTCCGCGCGCTTTTTTACGTTGTTCCGCGAAAAAATGACAATTATCTTGATCCCCAATCCCATAACACAAGTATGACTTTAATTGGTAGGATTACTGGAGGCTCAGTTCGTATTCAAGGTCTGACGTTACTGACAGAATCTTGTGGGAGGCTCATTAACGCGAATACTGGCACTGGGAGCTGCAGACTGCATCTGAAACATCTCAATTCTTGTTGTGTTGTCATGGCCTAACATTTAATCAATATTTGGCGAGAGCTTGTTCCTGACAGTGTCTACTGGCATGGCACGTTGGGAAATCGATACTCTGGTGGTGAGTTTAGAGGCACACAAGTCGATCCCACGATTGCCTGAATCGATAGTAACATTCCGCCTGACCACTGATAACAAGTAAACCGAATTATGTACGACATGTATGAGTAAGTCCCAGTGAGATAAGTAAGTTGTACTTCTGCGAAGATGTCCTAAACCCTATGACAGCATTTATGAAGTCTTGTCCGCCCCGCTGGATCCTACAAAGACATCGATAAGCCTGTCTTCTGAAATTACTCGTTGCCTCTGGAGCAGATAAGCCAGTAGAATATCTTCCCGTAAAGGCTCTGCGTCATATTCCAGTAAAAACGCAGGCTTTCCATTTGACACTGTGGCATGAAATGAACATGATGCTATTGGTCTGTCCAAGTCATATTGAGCGTAAACCTGCAAGACAGGCAGTGGTGAGAAAAGGTACTTTGGTGAAGAAGAGAACTCACCTTTTGACGATGGCTCGAGATTATCTTCCACACGTATGGCCCGTAATCGGTCCCCATGACAAAAGCAGTTCTACAGTAGCTAGCTCATGAATTCTCCAAAGGTCGTCCTGCAGGTAAAGCACGGCTTACGTTCCGTCTGCAAGCCTAGTTTTTCGGAGCCATTTTTGCACGCTGATCGGTGCGTTACCATTCCGTTCTGGGAACGAAATAGTATTTGGGAGAATTTCTCGCTGGTGGAAGATAGCAGCAATCCGACCAGGAGTACGACGGTCGTTGACTATCATCTGTTTCCCATCGTCGGTGATCGTGTACAGTGGGATACCAGGGTGTGCGTAGAATGTGGCATTCTTTGAATCAGTACTGGTTAGGAAGTAGGGTGTAGGCGGAGTGGGGTTGACGAGCGTCGTTGTAGAGTCCATGGTGGATCGATGTCTGAGACGAGTCTGGGAAATGTCAATGGCGTCAGCGTTAAATCTGGCCGAACATGAGAAGCGACGAAGTGTCACTAATGTTTACACCTCGATTGAGTAGGAGTACGTACCTTGTACCCAAGCCAGTTCGCTACATGTGGCACGAGAACTTTTCGCATGATGATCTGGGCACGTATCAACCATCATCCGGTAAGAGTCCTGTCAGTCGGACTCAAACATCCATAACAATATCGAGTTTCAGAATCAGGACGAAAGCCCACATTACGATCTAGATGAAAGCAACCGTGTCACGAATTTCCTCTTGGGGACTTTGAGCGCTGGGTGACTGAAGTTTTGATTTAATTAATAGGAATGATCATTGAACATTCTATAATGGGCTGTCTGGACTCTGGGGACTGGGGTTGTCCCGACGCTAATGGCCATCCTGATGTTCGCCATTTGGTGCATACAGAGGAGTCGCAGTCCCAAATTGTGCGTACGATGAGCATGTAGACGTAGTACAAGTCAAAATCAGCAATTAGTAACTAAATATAATTCCCACCCGATTTCTGACCGCAAGTTCACAGCTACTTATATATCTTAGACCAACTTTAGACTACCATTTAGACCATATGTCGACCGTTCGTGCCACATACACAGCCCGACATTTTGTTCTATTCGGGTCAAGATGTCAAGTTCACCGTAGCTTGCCAGGTCGGACCAACCTTCGAGGATTGGCAACCTCCACAGAAGGAGTAAGTCGGTGCGAACCTGCTAGGCCAAGCATTATCCTCACACACTTCTATTCAGACCCTCAAGAAAACAGGCCTGTACGAATTTCATATCAAGAACGATGCGAAGATGGTGCCATTCGCCGGATATCAAATGCCTGTTGCCTACGGGAACGTTGGCCAAGGTGCGGTCACAGTCGGCTTTGAGAAGCATCGCAATAATGATTTATTTCTAGGTGCCAGTCACGCCCACGTCCGTACCGATGCTGGTTTATTCGATGTTGGGCACATGGTACAATCCAAGTCGGTCGAGTTCTGCATTCATCATTACCAAACTGCAAACTGAAACAAAACAAGTTTCCGGGGACACACTGTTACAGCGTTTTTAGAGTGGTTAACGCCCTCGTCGCTAACGTCCCTCGCCCCGTATACCTCTACCTTATCGGTTCTCCTGAATGAAAAAGGCGGCATTATCGATGACACCGTCATCACGAAGCACTCAGAAGATGCCTATTACGTGGTGACAAATGCTGGAAGACGGGACAGGGATCTTGCGTGGTTCAAAGAGAAGCTTGAAGAGTGGAATGCTAGTGATAGCGCAAAAAGTGGGAAGGTAGAGCACGAGATCTTGGAGGATTGGGGACTTGTTGCATTGCAGGGTCAGTGTGACCTAACTGGTTTCTCTAAATTCTGACTGTGTTTCAGGTCCTGCCGCTGCGCAGTATTTGCAGCGCTTGACCTCCTTTGATTTACGTGAGCTAACGTTTGGCAAGTCTGCTTTTGTGCCCATTGAAGGTTTCAACCTGCACGTCGCTCGGGGAGGCTATACCGGCGAAGACGGGTTTGAGGTGGACACACATCGACTATTTTTAAGGCTTGCTTTCTCACAAAATTTTAGATCTCGATACCACCATCTCAAACGTTGGATGTCACTAAATTGCTTTGCAACGCTCCAGTGCAGCTGGCTGGTCTGGGTGCTCGGGACTCTCTACGTGTAGAAGCTGGCATGTGTTTATATGGTAATGACTTGGATGAGGATACTACACCTGTCGAGGCCGGTTTGTCTTGGGTAATCGGTGAGAATCACTTCTCGTGAGAATGATGTAATGAAACTGACTGCACGTTCAGGTAAGGAACGTAAAGAAACTGGAGGTTTTATTGGAGCGGAAGGGGTACGTAAACATTTGAAAGATGGCCCTCCAAGACGCCGAGTGGGATTCATAGTGGATGGTGCACCCGCACGACGTGAGAGCAGTTGCTACCTCATTTCGTGAATTTGATGCTAACACTTCACAGAGGGCGCCCAAATATACTCATCGCCTCAAAAAGAATTGATTGGCGCGGTCACATCAGGTATTCCTTCCCCCATGCTTGGGAAAAATATTGCGATGGGCTATGTGAAGTCTGGCTTCCATAAGAAAGGTACCGAGGTTGATATCGATGTCCGAAACAGGATGAGGAAGGCCATCGTTACACCGATGCCTTTCATGAAACCAAATTATTGGAGGGGATGAACAGGGTGGACCTGTGTACGCTTTCGCCTGCTCAACTTAGGCGATCGACGATAATTTTATTTACACTAAGTAAATGTATCAACTTCTGGTATGCATGTCTTCTTCAAGTCCGCGCGTGCGTCCCCGTATACAATCCCAAAGAATGGTACCCCCCTTTTAGCTGGGGGACCAGTTCACCTCAAGAACATCTATGGCTTTCCAAACCAAGCGCTCTGCATCTCAGATCCATGACGTGGATCCACATCCAGGCAATCACGGTGTATCAACGTGATATCCCAATACCGTTCGATTTTGCTCGAACTTGCCCCCGCCGACGACGATGTTCTTTTCAGATATTCTTAGGCGTTGTTCAAGAATCAAGAAGGATATGATGACGTCGTCACGAATAAGCTCCGCTTCTCCCTGCATGATCACTGCGAAGTTTTGAGTTCGTGTTCCCTGTTGGAGGTGCGCAATAGGATTGGACATGTCATCCTTCCGATATAACTGACAGAACGTAATTCACGGGAGCAAACGTCAGAGTGGCACAGAGGCGATGCATCGCGTGTTGACTTACAGCAAGCCGGTAATCGGCGTCCGACTTCCAAACATAAGTTCCATGCGCAGTCTCGATGGAGTGGATATGACTGTGGTACACTGTCAGTCACCTGGACTGCGCTCACCTATACTAGCCCACGTACTGTCCGTTCTCAAGCTTGCTTTTCTGCAGCCATTTACTAAGGTTTATTGAAGAGCCACCATTTCTGTTAGGAAACGTGATGGTGTCTGGCAGGATATCTCTTCTGTCGATCCGAGCCAACAGATGATTGCCACGAGCATCATAGATGTCTGTCCGCTTGTCTGACTTCGCGTCGGTGACCACCGAGTACAATGGAGAAGCCGGTTGGTTATTGAATATCTTTGTGTTTTTCATATTCTCTAGGCTGAAATTGTATGATTTAGGTGGGGCGGGTTTTGTCACCGCTGAGGCTGTTGCCTGCATTGTGCGAAAGATGAGCGAAGGTAGGGTGTGCTTTGTACTAGACGCATGGGTGACACACCCAATTTATAGAATACAAGCTTTTGAGGCTGTGCAGCTAAGACATTCAAACGTCATATGTCAGGCGGTACGATGCGGTATGGAGTAATACAGCCCCACAGATACAGCTTAAACTGTTCCTGGATATAAACTACGAACCAGTAAGGAACCATGCCTAAAGATCTCGTGTGCACAGGTTGGGAGATACCGCCGTGACCGTGCCTGGCACTGCGGTCCCGCCCTCGAGAGGTACTAAGAAACACGGATTGCGATGTCTTCTTTTTACCCGTTTAGGCTAACCTAATGCCGACGACAGTACATGTGATTCGGTGCTAAGTATGCTGTATCAGACTTTGATCATTAACACTTGTCCATTGGTTCGAGCAATGTCTTCTAGAAACGGACCTTGCATCGGTTGTAGAAAATAGTGTAACGACAGATGAGAGCTTTCGTCACGTAGCTCAGAGCTCGTATTGATAGTCTCGCTGCTTGCGTCACCAGATGGCCTCCGGGAGCCGCGTCGTGCGTATGCGGTACACATCTCGTGCGCCCAATTTGTCATGATTTGCAAGCTACCGGCATGACTGTGGCTGTTCTTATCTCTGGTGCTGCTGTGAATACAGGCTCACCCATAGTGTGGATTATAGCACAGCTTATGCTTACCGGGCTTCCTCAGCAGGCTATGGCTCGTGGATCCTCTGGGCTCGGTTAGGCCCGCGCTTCTAGATCCTGTATACATAATACAGACCTTCCGGTACATCGCGATTAGAAGGCTGGATCAAATTTCCCTTGGGTATACTGCTCATGCACCATGGCGGAGACAGAAAGATGCGGAACAGGAGGTTAGAAGACAGACGCAAGTACTAACAGCAAAAAACGCGCAGTAGCAACGCAGTAGTATGACGACGCCCTAATAGCCACCGAGCCGCCGGTTATGGCGAGCTTATACACTAACCTATTGTAGGGTTAGGGTCAGGTAGTCACTATCGAACTTTGATATTGCCATCTAACTATCGGATACAATGTCTGCCAGCATAGATCAAGAAGATGCACTTGTAACGTCCACCGATCCTCTCCATGTGAGCCGTATCTGTCAAATGTTGACTCGACTTGTGATACTAATCATGAATCTCATCGCCGATGATTAGCCCGCAAATCTTATATCAGAGTTATGTGCATCCTTCTACAGATTGGGATGGGTGACCGGTACTGGCGGAGGTATCAGTATTCGCACTGAGTTCGTTTCTTGTCGGCTGTACCTTACCCGCACTGATCGGTTTCCGGTAGCGATAAGGTGTACATCGCTCCCTCGGGCGTACAGAAGGAGCGCATCGAGCCTTTGCATATATTCGTCCTGCCTTATCCCCAGGCAGAGCCGTCTCCACATACCGATAGGATTTTCCTTCGTCGCCCAAAGTTGAACTTGAAAGAGTCTGCATGTACCCCGCTTTTCTGGAATGCTTTTACGGTCCGTAACGCTGGCTCCTGTATACACACTCATTCTCAGAACGCGGTGATGGCAACACTGCTCTGGGAGAAAGAGAAGATGTTCAAAATTTCCCATCAAGTGAGTCGGGCTAGTATGCTATGAGCATTTCATACTGATCTTGTTTTACAGGAGGTATTGAGCTTTTACTTTGTATTCTCCTTTCATTGATCTCTCGAGAGATGATCAAGGGTGTCCGAATTGGCGGAAATGGCCCGACCCTTTCGTACCTTGACACCCTTGAGGTCCCGATCATCAACAATACGCCTAACGAAGAAGATTTAAAGGACAGCATGAAAGAGGCCATGGAGCAGTATCCCAGGGCCGCTGGTATCCTCGTTTTGCGTCACGGTATCTATGTATGGGGTATGTCATCGGCCGATCACTTCGGTTTCTACGTGTTAACTTCCTCCATCAGGCGACGATTGGCAGAAAGCGAAAACACAGACAGAGGTCAGTCACAACACATTTTAGATTTAGGTTAAAAGCTTAATCATATCAGTGCCTGGATTACTTGTTGGAAATAGGAGTCAAAATGAAGTTAGCTGGTTTACCGACGGTACTCAATGAATGAGCGCTGGATGCTCAACCTGTGATCTATTTAGGGAAACGAATGTTACAATTAGCACCTCGCCACTGATGCCATCACAGACCTGAACCACGAGACTTCGGAATATGAGTGTAACAACCTCCTGTGACTATATCGTTCTACTAACGTGACCATGATGTGTTTCGGTTACTCACGTTCTTATGCCCCGTTTGCATGAACATTAATCCTGGTGGGTATTGGATGCAGATACACGAGAAAATGCCGTTTCTCTTTGAGTTGTAATCGATTAGCAACCTTTTGACTGCATCACATGCACGAGAAGCACGGCCCGATTGCACAGATCCCTGCATTCCCTAGAATCATAGTGCCGTGAAGAATTCTGCCACCCAGGCTGGCTGCTGACGACGTATACAACAGTGTCACGTAAACATCTGGATGTAATGTGCGATCGTACCTCCGAGTCCAATTACGGCAAGAGTAAGATTCAAGGGGTCGAGAGGCATACGCTGAATCAACAGGAGGAAGTAATTTCATTGGTCAAAGACTCAAGATATACAGTAGATTCGATATACAATAGAACAGTAATACAATCGCGTTAGGTTCATGCAGTGGGTACGGAAAGGACTAGACTACGGAGATAATGCCGCAAGTCGCTCATCTGTGTCTCCTCAAGGTTTGTAAAATGTCTGCCGCGCAACACAGCAATCATGGCTGCCAATATCCACAGCCCACAATCGTAAGCGTTGGTCTGGCATGGAGCAACCTGATCCAACCAGGTCAGCAAGCAACGTTACATAGTGTGAGCAACAGAACCTACGTTTAACATCCGACCTCGCCAGCCCTCGAGATCAATTTGAACGTCGCTGTGTAGTCGACGTGCTATAGTGAGGTACCGTTGGATCAATTTCATGATGTCCTGTAAAAAACATTTCGGTCATGCGGTTATTACCTAGTATAAAAAATAAAAGAACACACCTCTACATCCGGTCCCCAAGCTTCCTCATCAGCAAGACTGTCAAACAGATGGAACTGTTTAGTCTTGAAATAGATTATACAGATCACCCAATGGCCGCCGACGACATTTGTTCGATGGATTGGGAGGATCCACACATCTTTCTCCCAATAGGAAGTCCAGCATGTGTTGCGCCAGATGCGCTCGTCAGCTGCCTTGGCCCTGATGCGAGGAAGGTCGAAGGTGGATAATATAGCGCAGTTCACAGCTGGGATTTTGAACTGGGAATAGAGGATTGCAGCGCAACCATTGATGACCCCGTCATTGAGACGTGCCGTAGGAGAATTGAGACATGCAATGTCCTTTTGCTCAAATATTTGACGATAGAATCCATCACGTGGGGGGCGGATCCTTGTAGTGACTACGTCGGGTACGATGGGAAGGCGGTCTTCTGGTGGGATGCAGAAGTCGTCCATTAACAAATCCTACGCAGACCTTAAGTAAGGATATGATATCCACGACGGTTCACGTCAACATACCTTGGAAAAGCCACTAGCATCACGCATGTTAGTATTGCCCTCCAGGGAGCCGGCTTGCTCAACCTCAGACTCCGTGGGACCTGCTGGGACCTGTACCGCATCCTCACCGACAGGATACGCACCCCCTAGCAACGATTGCATGTTACGCGGGTTATGGTATACTGAAGGGGCCTCAGAGTACGTGGTGTATTGAGGCTGAGGTACAAAAGACTGAGCAACAGGCGAATAGTTGGCGGTATTGTAGGTGCTGCCGGGCAATGGGCCTGGTCGTCTGATGGTAAGCGTCGAAAGGAATGGCTACAAATATGGCGAACTTACCTTGGAGAGGTTGACCAAGCGAAGGATTTGTACCCACTGAGATCCCTCCTGTGACATCGAAAGATGTACTATGGGGTGCTGGTTGTTGCACGAAGACGCGGTCTCGAAAAGCCGTGAACGATGTTGAAATCACACTGTTGATAATAGCATCGAGCTCGTAGAATTCTGCTTGAGGGTCGACGGTACTATTATATCCGCACGGATGCCCCGTCGCGACATCTGACAGGGAGTTGTCAAGAAGCTTGAAAAAGCGCCTGCGGGTCTCCTGAATTTCCTCGCGGACACGTCCTTCTAACATGTCAAGGTGATCGAGACATAATTGTATGGCTGGTCTCGTTGAATCTAGTTTAGACATCTTTCTTAGACGCGAAGACAACAGGTTTTGTAGCAACGATCTGGATGAATTTATGGTAAGTTCATGTCGTCGTCTATGAAGCATAAGTAGGCTTACTTTGCGTTTGCAGATTCCAGTAGCAAGGGAAATGGTGCAAATGTGGCAGAATATGGCAAGTCTTTGCGAGAGCGGGGAATGAGAGACAAACGTTGGAGGCTTTTATCTAAGCTCCATGACCGTGGCAGTGGTCGACTTATGCCTATGGAGGGTCTAGTGGATCAAGGTCTAGTGGATCGAGGGTCTACTAGTGGATCAGTGCCCATTTTGGGCCTGGTGGGATCATGCCATAGTGGTCTGGTGGGTCCGTGCCACTGGATGGCCTGGCGGGTTCATGCCCACGATTCTGGTAGGCCCTAATCAAGGCAAAACTGACATTCTTCATGCCTTTGAAACCCTGGTCCGGATCATCCTCGCGAGCTGCATGTTGGTAACTTAAGGTTCTTATAGATATTGGTGATTGAAGGAGGGATTGGCCATAAGTATAGGGTGAGTCCAAGACGAGTCAGAAGTGAAATTAGCGCGCGAACAGCCCACGTCCGTGGCAAGGTTCCGGTTAGCGCTTAGGCACGCATGAGCTGCTGCGCTCGTCGCGCTGTACTAGGCAGTAGGATCTCGTGCACCCGAACAGTTTTTCCTAGTAATCAAGAGTTTTGTCACTTGAACGGACAAGTTCGATTCTTGCCATGGGCAGGACCACGGTGGGCGATGAAACGTAGCAGCGTAAGGCGCCTACCCCCGAATAATATTATTGCTTCGAGTACACGGCCAGGAGGAGGGACGAAAGTCGCATTCTTGGAGGTGAATTCATGTGTGATCGTTTCTCTCGAAAAGCTCGCATGGTCCAAAGATGATGCCTATGCCTTTCAGTATTGAACTGGTACCGTCATGTACTGCGGCAAGTTCGTATCCTGCGTCAGATATTTTAGAGAGGAGCTGCATGACATTAATTATTCGAGTGTAGATAGCAAAGAGGTATGGCGAGGACTATGCGGAGAGACATCCTCTAGAATTAGCAGCATAAGCAAGTGGTCAAAATCCGAGAAAAACTCGAGCGACCTCTACACAGATGGAGAGGGCGCAAGTATTCTAACTGAGACTCACGGGCGGTCTATGTCAAGGTGATACCCTCGACGTGGTCGGCGCAAGCTCCACCCTAGGAATTTTCAATGGCGTATCTTCAAACTCTGCCCATCCGCCTCGAAGCCCGATCTCCACCACCCGCTCGACGATTCTCGCCAGCTCATTATTCCGTGCACGTTCTGATTCGACATCCCCCAAGCTTTCCTGGATTCTCTCCAGACGCTCTGTGAGTGATGCGACGTTCGCAGAGAGCTCCTCAATTCGTTCGTTAACGTCGCCTCGCTGTTTGGACTGACTTCGAGACGATCGCCATGTTTCGCCTATTATTAACAGTGCGGCGACTGAAAACAAGAAACCTTCTGCTAATGCATTGGCACCATTTTCGATTGCTCTGAGATGCGAATGAAAAAGAATCGGATATGAAAATGATGAAATGCACACCTCGTTTCTGATAATGGTTTGACATGTTGCCTGGCCGGTTCACCGAGGATATTCGTCCTCAGCTTAATTTCGCCCACATGCATCCTCTGAGCAAGGGAAATACATATCGAACGGAAGGTTTCGTGCCTAGAAAAATCTCAGAATCTGAATAAGAATCAACAAAAGTTGAACCACTGCACATACTGCTTTGCCTGGTTCTTTATTTGTGCGGAGATGGGCTTCGCAAGTGTCTGTCACATCTGGACTGAGATCTCGAGGTAATGCAGGAATTTGGCTCGACTCACTCGAATAACAAGGGTAGCAAGTTTGACGGTAGCCATGTCGCTGTATGTTGGGGCCGGAGTCTTGCTAGTCAGAGCAGAGCAACGTCAAAGATACTAGTTTAGAGCACTATGCCGAATCCGCACGTCAGCTCAGAGCCGTCGGACCTGAACTAACTTGAACACCCAAGAGTTGTCAATAGACTACCAGAGGAAATGTAAAACAAGTAGAACGAGACGTCTTCAATGAGCGGGATGGCACAACTTATACCTTTCGAAAGACACAGCACCTCCGGGTTGCTGAACCAAAGCCTTCGCACTGTCGACCGCTTATTGAGGGGTCGCTCAATCTCATTATGTAAGCCCCTCTTAGCGCTGTGTCTTGTGGGTTTTAGTACTTATTGACTTGCTATTAACAGCGCTTTCTTGTTCACTAACTACGATGAGCTCAACGATGGACTCAGACCCGCTATTGGCTCTACGTCATGCGATCAAAACCAAATCTCCAATAACGTATGTCGCAAATTCTGAGCCTACAACTTCCCTTCTTGCTGCATCCCACATCGTTCTGTCTCCGACTCTTTCGCTTCCAAAATCAACTACAACACGCTATTCGAAACCTGGAACCTCTGCATCTTCGCCGTCGGATTTCTTCACCCTTGAAGCCGTATATTTAGCATGGCTCCTCCGTGATGCGCCTGTTGCAGAATACATGAAACAGGCTCGGGACAACGGTCTTGCAGTGGGATTCGTGAGCGTTACGGAGAGGAAGAGCATTGTCGAATGGCTGGAAGGCAAGGTAAATGATTTGAAACGAATAGTGCCGCTTGCAGGTATGTGGATATATAAACCCTACCTGGAGATGTCACCGAGCTTCCTGCAGCAGCAGAGTCGACAACACCTCCAGGCACACCTACCCACCCCGGCGCAGCCACAATGCCCCTCATTACTCCGAAGCGCACAGCGCATACTGCAGATACCACCACCACTCCCTCAAAGCGACGTTACGTTGCTGATCAACAAGATGTTGAAGTTGTAAAACGGATCAAGCAGAATGAGGTTGAGCTGCGCGACAGGAATACCGTACTACGAGGAACAAAACCAAATGTAAGTCTGAATCCTATCTTGTATCTGTTTTACCAACGGCGTTCCAGAACTTCTCTGCCTTACGAGCTACATACTCTGAAAGATTGAAGAAGCTTAAGGAGACAAAACCTGGGGCTACCCCAGTTTCTGCGCCAACTGCTGGTCTTCCCATGCAGTCCCGCAAAGCTAGTAGGTTCTCGTTTTAAACATCTTACTCAAAACTCTGATTGGCTGCAGAAAATTTATACCCTATCATCATGATTTCCTCTTCTCCGACTGCTCTTATAACTATGCATAATGTCAAGCGTTTCCTTCAAGAATCACTGTGCGTTCTGCTCCACAAACCAAATAGTTTTCGTTATTGATGTCTTGCTCTCGTAGATTCGAGTCTTCCTCGGCAGCGCGTGAACGTGCTGCAGCTGCAGGCAATTCCCGCGCTGAGGATGTCATTCATATTGACAGGCGGCGTGTACCGCCTTCTTCATCCTCACAACCTACGTCTACGTCTCGCGGGGACATTCAACGGTACTTTGTTGTTGATAGCACTGACGCTTTGCAGAAATTTGGTGCGGATGCATGGGAACGTGTTGTCTGCGTGATGACCACCGGTCAAGCATGGCAGTTCCGTCCGTACCGGTGGAGTGAGCCCCGAGCTCTGTTCCATCACGGTACGCGGTTCTCCTCTCACTGATTCCAATCGCTGATGATCCTGGGCTGCTTTAGTGAAAGGCGTATATGTTTCATGGGCAAATGATCCGCCCAACACAAAGATTAAAGACTGGAATGTTACGGAACTGAAGGTGTGCCTTGGCCTTTCCATCCTTTCATTTAGGCTTATAACATCACGCTAGATCGACCCACACAGACGACACATTGACAAGTCTGTTGTGGCGCATTTTTGGCAGCTCATTGATGACTGGACAATCGCCAACAAGCCGTGGTTGATCAAGTCATGATGTATGATGTTCTGCTTTCGATCCGTTATTGGTGGCAGCGAGCTGCTGAAACAAGGATCAGCTTTATTTCCCCGTTTTTCACTGGTTTGTACCTTTTGAGCCTCCTTTACCGGAGATGCTCGCTTATGTATCGGAATTTCATTTCTTGTACTCAACAAACATAACATGTAAGGACCGACGACCTACAGGTGAATCTGTGGGCGATTATAAGCCAAACATAGAGAATGTGAAAATAAGAATCGGAAGTGTCCATGCAAGCTGGCTATGTCAAGGATCACGGCGAGAGTCTCGCCTGGATGGTAGCTATGAGAGCAGTGGTCCAAGTTCACGTCATGACCATGACAATATGCTCAACCTGCAGCTGCATGCGGCTAAAATTTGCAAAATGTAGGTTACAAGGTGAGTGGACTGCTTACATGCCATGTAAGTACAAAGTTGAATCACAGTGTGGGCGAGAACCAGTCTCCCATAGTCAGACCATGCACGAACGAAGACAGCCGTTCTTTTTCGCCTTCGAACATCTCGCCCCTCGATCATTCCTTGATATTCACGATCTGCCACTCGATCTGTCTGTTTGCCCAGAAAGGCACGACTGTCTTCCCCTCACTGCTATATTTAGCCTGCACACTCACCCCTTGCACCTTCTCAACAAAAACCTTCGGAGCATCTGAATCCGCCGGAATCTGATAAAATCTGCGCCCAAAATTACTCGTAAAATCAGCCAACCTGTCGATCGCACCGAACGAATCGAGGAGGTGCGCGACGAGTGGGAGAAGGATAGGAGATGTATAAACCCCTGCTGCACACCCGCTTGTCGCTGTCGCTGTCGATTTTGAGAGGCTCGGATGCGGTGCAGAATCAGAGCCAAGGAAGAATTTCTTGTTGCCGGATTTGATAGCTTCTTGAAGAGCGCGACGATCATCTGGAAACTTGGCGACAGGTTTGCAGAAGTGGAAAGATTGGCCTGCCCAATCATCGACTGTGAGGGAGAGGTGGTGCGCTGTGATTGTGCATGCGACATTGTCACCGCAGGCTTTGACAGCATTGATGGCTGCTGCAGTCGTTGCATGTTCGAGAACGATACGCAGCTTGGGATATTTGTTCGCTAGGTTTGCGAGAACGGGAAGGAAACGTTCCTCAGCGTTGAGGACGCAGATGTTTTTGGAGTGGTCGGATGGAATTTCTCCGTGAAGGTTAAGCACGATGCCGTGCACCTCCATCGCTTTGAATAGCTCATCGTATTTATCATAACTCTCGATTCCTTCGTCCGAGTTCGTGGTTACGCCACGAGGATACGATTTGACGCCGACAATACCCGCAGCCTTCCAATTCTTGACATCGTTGGGATGGAGAGCGTCGGAAAGATAGAGCGTCATGAGGAACTCCACTTTAGATGATCCAGAGTAATCCTTCAACCTTTTCTTGTATTCGATTGCCATCTCTGTAGTGGTAATTGGAGGCACGAGATTTGGCTGCGATCGTCAAATTGATCGTTGTCCTATGAACTGAGATGTAATCAGCACGTACCATGACATAGGCAAGATAGAAACCACCCTTATAGACGTGGGGGGTAACGAGCCTTGATAATTCACCATCCCTGAGGTGAACATGAAAATCGGCGGGGGCGGTCACTTCTATTATGTCTCCATAATTTGCAGTGGACATGATCGTGATGGAGAGAGCTTCATCTAGCCAAGAGTTCATATTATATATATCCGGTCCGTTCCAGCCCGTTCCGAGGTCGCCTTCGCGATCAGTGCGATGAGCTGTCGTCGGGTACTATATGCATAATTACAATCACTATAGCTAGACACTGGTAACAAGACAGACAAAATGCATTCTGCACCGGGAACCTGACAGCACTGGTGTTTCCACCGCTTCAGAAAATGTAACAGCACCATCACAGTCAGAATTTTAGAGCGCGTATGACTTCTGGAGAAATATTACAGTAAGTCACTAGTAACTAGAAAATATTGAGGGCGAGATCAAGTCACATGCATGGGTCGAGAAGTCGAAGGGGCGTTTCGAATAAGTGAATCCTGAGACTTTCTGGAGTTTAAGGACTCCGCTGGCTCTTAATTCATGTATTTCGAAAATCGCTATCAGGATCTGCAATTAATTCGAGGGTAGGAATAAGGGTAGCATCCGGCGCCGAGTCACCACAATATCGCCGCCTTCTGTTCCGTCAACGGAAGGGTAAATTATTCGTGTATAAAAGGACGATAGTCACCGTATCCCAAGCTTCCTTGAATCCTAAAGCGGGATCACAGACACCCCGCCAGATCCTTTGCTCCCGGGCCAGTGAAGACATGATGAGGCGGGCACAAACGTGCAGGACAATAGGTATGCGGGTGTGCAGAAAGAGGGGCGGGCGGGCAACACAGGAAGGAGGCGGATGAGAAAGATGAGCAGGAGGACAGCGAACATGGCGTGACCATAAGGTAGACTTGGGGCGGAGCCTGAAAACAATGTTCTATATGCAGCGGCGGGGAGACGGGAGGTGTTCATCAGTGCTTGAAGTCAGCGATGAGCTACCATATGTGTGCCTATGTTGCTGTGAATATGAACACGTCGCTGTGCAGGATAATCGGATTTAACCACATAACTCACTTGCGCACCTTACTAGGGTCCGGGATCTGCCAGCAGTAGTTGGTCGAAATTGAGCTGGCAGCTCGAGGGACACGTCGCAATAGTGAGTCATATCTTTGGCATCATGGCTGATGGTGCAACACCTAGTTCGGGGACGTCAGTACAGTTGCTTTCGAAAAAATTTCGTACTGCTCGAGCAATATGAATGTATCTGAAAATGACAGGCTGTCTCTACTCTTGCTCGTGGTCCACTGAGCAGTCAACTTCTAAACGTTGTGGCTGCGCTGGCAGGGTCGCTGCATGTTCAAATGGAGAAGTGATGAGTGAGATTAGGTTTTCATACGAAGGTCATACGGTCGTAACCACTCAAATAGGTTCTTGCAGGTTCTGTCTAAATTTGTGCCATTCGACAGCAACAACAATTCTGCCAAATCAATCAGAATCGTGCTAACGCATGATATAAAAGCTGGCCGTTGTCCTATGGTAGTCCCCCATCCTTAGCGATATCATTCGAGAACCCCCTCAGAAGATTCCACATCACTTCACACAGCAAATGCATTTTTCCCTCCTCGCCATTGTTGTCGCTTTGACAGCATCCATGTCTGTCAATGCAGCAACTCCATGTCTGCCTGGCAATGAACCCTGGGCGACTTGCCAGACAAATAAAGATTGCTGCGATGGCTATATTTGTTTCTATCATGTGAGTATGAGCAAGTCGCTGTGCATCCATTGCTCACCTGTGCACCCTAGTATCCGGGATCAGACAAGATCTGCCAGTTACCACTAGCAGTCGATTGAGGACTGAGCCGGCAGCCCGAGAGACACGTCGCGACAGTGAGTCATGTTTCTGTTTTCGCTTTGGTATTATCAGGGTTGATGGTACAATATCTAGTTCAGAGCCAATCGGTAAAGTTGTTTGTATATATACAAGCACTCGCCTTCAGCTCATAGAGTTACGAAGGTGTAAGCCTATGCCATTCAATGCAATGTTCGCACAGTCTTGTTCTTCGTTCGTCTCTGATAATAAGCACAACGTGTCTCTTCACGTTCTGACTGTCGATAACGCTGTACACAATTCACCGTGAGCAAAAGGATCTGTTCTCAAGTCGAGCACGGTTCAAATTGCTTGAGCGTAGTGGGAGGAACCGTCTCGGAAGCGTCGTCAGTAGCAATAACCATGTCAGAAGGTCCTAATGCGATGTCTTTGACAATCACAATGCACCGATCTCCGGCAATGCTCCGCACAGTGCCCTGGACGACGACATCCTTGCCAGCAGTAGGCAGAGGAGTTTTGCTGAAGCGTGGATGGCTTTGAGGATATATGCATAATTATAATCACTATAGCTAGACACTGGTAACAAGACAGACTAACAGACGAAGTCTATTCTAGCCCGGGGATCCGACAGCGATGGTGTTTCCACCGCTTCAGAAAATATAACCGCACCACCATAGTCAGAGAATTTTGAGAGCGTGCATGACTGCTTGAGAAATATTAAGTTATACAGAAAAACAAAAGGCAACGTACTAGTCTGACTTTCCACATATTTATATGATGTATACTACTATGTTTATACATAGGTGAACATGATAGTCAGTGTCCAATAGACCTCCAATTCACATGATCGAACATCCCTCACACCATCCTTCGCTCAGTAATCCCGCCTGCTCCAACCATCCGGCGCACCCGTTTCTCGCTCTACTCTCACCGGTACACCCAAGTCCGAGTGCGGTGGCTTTGATGGCGCCCGGTGAACGGCGGACCTCTATCGTCAGCTCATTGTCCTCCTTCTCGTCCATTGGCGTGGTGTAAAACCAAAGAAGTTTCTGCTCCGACGCGAGAAGCTCTACTCGGCCTTCGGATGCAGTGACAGTGATGTCGTACCAGTCGTCCTTGAATATGACTGGCAACATTGCCGCTTGAGAAGTCAGGGGAAGGGTGAGCGCGGATGATGTATATACGCGAGGTGTTGTTGTTCCTGATGTACTGCGGCTGCTCCCTTCTTGCTCGACATCCATGGAATCATCGACTTGGTCCTGGGCGTTAGAACCGAGTGCTTTAGTTAAGCAAGCGTCTGAGGCGAAATGGACGAGAGGTAAGAAAATTTCAGTAGGTAAGGAGCTATCCTTGCACAATCCTTTCTTTCCTGGTACTAGGTCATCATCATCGTCAACAGGTACATCGTCTGCGTTGACCTTGATAGTAAGATGGAAGGTCGCTTTGGATATGTCGAACTGGATATTCGTAGGAGTACCAACCACCGCTATTGGCCATGGGCGACAGAAAGCGCGTACGGCACGAGCGCCGTTTGTAAGGAATGAAAGGAGGGAGGCGGGTTCGTACTGCACAGGTTCGACCTCTTCGACGCTAGAGGTGGCATAAGGCGAAGAGTACGTTGGAAGAGTTGATATAGTCAAGGTCGATGCTTGTGCTGGCGCCAACGAACCCATTGAAAATTTGGAAGGTATCCGCAGGGCTGGGACCCTTTCCGCTTCTCCTGTACGTAGGTCATCGCTACACCATAAGCTGAGATCCTCCATATTCCACCCATCCCCCCACGGGTGCGAGCTATCGGAGCAGTATGTCCATACTGTCCAGTTCAAGCAGTTCTCACCGTCCGCCGCGTTTAAACTTGCATCAAGCGCACGCTCTTGCCGTGAGTAGTCGCCCTTGTACTTGCCACCATCAGTGTATCCATACGAGCGCTTAGCATCCATGTCGAAAGGTGTTCCAATCTCTCCAATGATAGTTGGGTATCGCGCTGGACCGGTGGGTGGAAGCGCACCTAGTTGCGTCGCGTCTGCCTTGAGATAGCCGAGCTGGGTTTGAAGGCTGCTCCGTATGGCGCGTTCACCTATGCGTAAAGCCTGTAACTGCGTTGCATATTTTCCCCGTATGAGACCAAGGGCATCCGCGTTGAACCAGTTCCAGTGGCGTGTCACGAGCGTCAGACCATCGTAATAATGTGTTGAATAGCATGCCCTACCCAGCAACAGCTCCTCAGGTATCGAAGGAGGCTGTGCAAACACGGGCGGCTGCACGAACGCGATGGCTTGTGGGTGGTGCGCTCTAATTGCTCTCAGGTAAAGAGTGTATTGGGGAAGGAAAAAGGCGCGCAGAAAATGGACGGGTTCTTGTGTGCCTGGAACATGTGCAAAATAGTTGGGCTGCAGAACGTATCCGCTCTCTACATCCCATACATCGTGCAAGGCCCATATGCATTTGCCGAGTGTCCAACCAGGGTCACGTCTCCAGCCCCAGCGCGGGTGAATGTTTCCTGGCTCTGTTGAGGGGTCAGCCCATGCCTTGACACCGTTTGGGTCGATGGTGACACTGCCATCACGCTTTGGACCCATGGAACCAAAAGAGTAGTTGTCAAGCGTCTGGACCTGGCCCATACCGAGACGAAAGCTCTGCGCTGGGTACGGAACGGTGCCCTTCTTGAGCGTGGAACCCTGCTGCTGTGGATATGCATTGAGGTCATCCCATGAAATGAGCCCTTCTGCTGGCTCATTCATGCTGTCCCAACCGATGACGACTTCGTCAAGAAGGTCACCGGCTGCTGCCACTCGCTGCGCCAACTCTGCAAAAGCGTTTGCGAAATGCGTCTGGAGGTATTCCTGAATGTTGACTCCATCAATGATGCATTTTGGCGCGAAGGTTGAGCCGCCGAAAAAGAGCGCGAACATGGTTTGCGAGACAAGTTTTCCGTAGTTTGTTGACCATATCATGGCAGGCATTTCTGTGGGGTTGCGGGACGCGGGAGTGGGATACTCGCAATGAATTATGGCTGCTTGGGTGGCACTGAATGCACATGGATTAAAACCGCATGCAACGAGTGTCCAATAAGGCGCTCCCGAACCGCCTGAAAACCGAGACCACTGAATGGCAGATTAAGAAACATAGCAATGTATTTGTGAGGAAGCTTACGGTATCTTGGTGAGGATTCAAATAAACTTTGAACCCATGTGCTTTGCATTTCCGCAGTATCTCTATTGTATAATCCATAAAATCATGGTCATATTTCCCTCTGGTCGAGCCACTGTCATCACAGGCTGGAGACTACGTTGATTAAGCACTCACGGTCCTTCATGTTCTAGGGCCTCCCAGGTTACAGGAAAGCGTAGCATATTGAAACCCCAACCCCGCAGGCGGGCGAGGTGTTCGTCCGCGTCCTCCAGCTTCAGCGGCCGGCCTATGAAGCTCTCGCTACCAATCTTAGCTTCTTCCCAGAATCCATCTAGGACTTGAGAAGACTGGTTCACGGGTGCCTTAGAGGAGCCAGATAGGTTTACGCCACGTAGTAGAAGGGTACGACCAGCGTTATCGACGAAGTTACCATCGAGCGTATGTATGAATGAGGCGTTCCCAGATGGTACACGAGGCATGGCTGCGACAGCAGAAGTTTTATTAATCCGAAATCCTTATTTTTCTAGCAATTTCGCCGTCGTTAGAAGCGCAGTAGTTGTACTGGCGTGGTGAAGGACTGTGGAGAAGTACCAGCTCCAATTATCGTACCACAAGTAACAAAGGCACACAACAGGCACAATTAATATGAAATGCCGGCGGTATCGTTACTTATGGTAACAGCTGCTCCGACGGGACGACGTCGGAGGCAGTGTGACGGTTTGTACCACCTGCACCTAGTCTTATCTCAGTCAAAATAGCTTGTAGCAGAGCTCAACACAACCGAAACAGAAGTAGGTGGCAAAACAACCCGAAGTTCATGACAGGAGCTACTTCCCTAGACATGCGTAGCAGCGACACCATATGGAACTGCAGAACACGCACGCATCGACAGGTGTGCTTGCAAATGCACACTGCGGCTTCTCGCTTGGCGTCAGTGACCCTTCGGCTTGGGAAACGCGAATTCGTGGGATTAGCCACTGTGGAAATAACTCAACTTATCCTGACCTCGTTTCCTCGATAATCAGAGTCGGACAATGGATTTAGGGCTGGAAAACATTCATGTCCTTGTAACAGGTTCAGTCATTCTCTCGTCGGCTTGCTCATGATTTCCTCACCCACGTTCCAGGCGCAAGCGGAGGCATTGGTCTTGAGACCGTCAAACTCTACTTGTGTAATTCCATCGCCTTTGTGCCTTCAGAGATGTGACTGACATCCAGCTTTTCTTTTCAGCCCTCGGCGCAAATGTGACTGCACATTACAACTCTAATTCCAAACCCATCCAGAATCTCCAAGTCAAATTCCCTGCACTCCAATGCGCACAGGCAGACCTCTCCTCTGAGTCTGCCGTGAAGAGTATGTTCGATGCGCTCTCAGGGACCCCGTTCGGCCCTGTGGCAGTAATCGTGGTCAACCACGGCATATGGTCGCCCCAGGACGTACCTATCGTTGATATGACCATTGAGCAATGGGACCACACCGTCAGTGCAAACCTCACCTCAAGCTTCCTGGTCTGCCGTGAGTTCTTGCGCCACTTGCGTGCAGCAACAGAAAGCGTGAAAGATAGGGCTGCGATTGTGCTCATCGGGAGCACATCAGGCAAATACGGCGAAGCGAATCACGGCGATTATGCTATCAGTAAGAGTGGTGAGTTTTATGTTTGTCGTGAATCGGTCATGTGCTGAGCGCGGATATGGGCAGCGATGATGTATGGCTTGACGACGACACTCAAAAGTGAGATCGTGAAGATCGCACCGAGGGGACGTGTGAATTGTATTGCACCTGGATGGGTTTCGACGCCGATGGTACAAGAGGCCCTGAATGATCCGGCCGTCAGCGGACCTCTATTAGCCGCGTGAGCCACGGTCATTTTCTTCACCTACTTAGTGGCTTATCTTCTTTATCAGCACTCCGTTGAAAAAAACTTGGGACACCTCTGGACGTTGCAAACCAAATAGTGGTAGTGTCTTCATCTGTGATCTCGGGACATGTGACAGGGCAAGTGATCTTTGTAGAAGGCGGTTGTGTAGGGGACATTTGAACAGTGACTGAATGAGTCAAACACAGGATCGTGGCTCGCGTCAGTATATCATGAAAGTACATATTTGGGCAGCAGACACGTGAAGTATATGTTGTGAGCTCTGCAGCCTGAGCGTGATGATCGTATAACTAAGCACCCCGAAACGGACCTCTGAGATTGCCCAGTACCTCCAATTGAAGGGGGAAACTACCCAGCAAGCCGTGCATAGTTAGTGGCAACAAAATGGCAAAAATTACAGTCAGGGCGCTCGTTCTCTGCACTTGCTGTGATCCATCCCTTCCTTGGATCGCTTCTAACAAGGTAAGTATCACGCCAGCTCGCCTTTGTACATGCATAATCATGACTAATAAGACTGTCCTCAGATTGCTCCGTTTATGGAAGGTAATTTGAACTTAGGGTCGAGGGCTGGTGTTACCGCGCTTATTTTCTATTGGATCTGCACTTAAAACTTAAGTTTGACTGCCGGCACGTCCAAGGTCAGACTGGCCTGTCTGCATTGACTCGGAGTGTCCTTGAACGTGATCACAAAAGCAGGAAAGCCAGTGACTTGCGTTCGCACCTTTTCATATCACCGGTTCACTGCATCAGGCATTTGACTGCCCAATGGCAAAGCTATAGATAGATTTATCTAATACATAATATAACAAATATATATCACAATTGCAGATGTCAAGATAAAGGAATAGATAGGCAGACTACCATGGTGGAATCTACCAAAGCTACAATATTGGTGGAACTATGTAGCAAGTTGTGATCTAGTGGCACACTGTTATTTTCTATTAGATGTATCTATGCCTACACTAATTGCTAGTAATGGCAGCATCCACCATCACTAACAGTGTGGCAATATGTGACACTGAGCTATCAAGTCATAGCATACTGTTGGGTCTCCACCATATGTATCTAGCTTTAGATAGGCAGACTCCAGTGGCAGCATTTATCATCACGAACAGTGTGCCATCATGTGATACTGAGCTATCAAGCCATAGCACACTGTCGGATTTCCACCATACGTATCTAGCTTTAGATAGGTAGACTCTAGTGGCAGCATCTATCATCACCAACAGTGTGATAACATGGGACACTAAGCTATCAAGCCATAGCACACTGTTGGGTTTCCACCATATGTATCTAGCTTTAGATAGGCAGACTCCAGTGGCAGCATCCACCATCACGAACAGTGTGCCATCATGTGATACTGAGCTATCAAGCCATAGCACACTGTCGGATTTCCACCATACGTATCTAGCTTTAGATAGGTAGACTCTAGTGGCAGCATCTATCATCACCAACAGTGTGATAACATGGGACACTAAGCTATCAAGCCATAGCACACTGTCGGATTTCCACCATATGTATCTAGCTTTAGATAGGTAGACTCTAGTGGCAGCATCTATCATCACCAACAGTGTGACAACATGGGACAATAAGCTATCAAGCCATAGCACATTGTTGGGTTTCCACATATGTATCTAGCTTTAGATAGGCAGACTCCAGTGGCAGCATTTATCATCACGAACAGTGTGCCATCATGTGATACTGAGCTATCAAGCCATAGCACACTGTCGGATTTCCACCATATGTATCTAGCTTTAGATAGGTAGACTCTAGTGGCAGCATTTATCATCACGAACAGTGTGCCATCATGTGATACTGAGCTATCAAGCCATAGCACACTGTCGGATTTCCACCATATGTATCTAGCTTTAGATAGGTAGACTCTAGTGGCAGCATCCATGATCACCAACAGTGTGACAACATGGGACAATGAGCTATCAAGCCATAGCACACTGTTGGGTTTCTACCATATGTATCTAGCTTTAGATAGGTATCTTATAGTGGCAGTATCCACCATCACCAACAGTGTGACAACATGGGACAATGAGCTATCAAGCCGTAGCACACTGTTGGGTTTCTACCATATGTATCTAGCTTTAGATAGGTATCTTTTAGTGGCAGCATCCACCATCACCAACAGTGTGACAACATGGGACAATGAGCTATCAAGCTGTAGCACACTGTTTGGTTTCTACCATATGTATCTAGCTTTAGATAGGTATCTTTTAGTGGCAGCATCCACCATCACCAACAGTGTGACAACATGGGACAATGAGCTATCAAGCCATAGCACACTGTTGGGTTTCTACCACATATATCTAGCTTGAGATAGGTATCTTTCAGTGGCTGCATCTACCATCACCAACAGTGTGGCAATATGTGACACTGAGTTTTCATGTCATAGCACACTGTGGGTTTTCACCACATATGTCTAGCTTAAGATAGGTAGGCTCTGATGGCAGTATCTACCAGCATTGACTGTGTGGCAATATACGACAATGAGCTATTATGTCACAGCTAGCTGCTAATATCTTGTCAAATATACAAACCCTTACAGGTATGGCTTCTGATGGTAGAATTCACCATTAATAACTATGTGCCTAGGATATAATGACAAGTTATCTTATCGTACCCAGTTGCCAATATTTTGGCAAACATACACATTCTGGCAGAGTGATCCATTGTATTGCATGGGCCAAAGAATCATCAATTGCATTTGAAATCTATTTACTACAGAGCACACATATAACAGCATCAAACATTGTGAACAACTAATTAGTATTGCCCCATGCTCGAAGAGCAGTGCGTTTTTCGCGAATTTTTGATAGCACGCTGTTCTTGCTGGTGCTTCGCTGTGAAGAGGAGGAATTAGGAAAAATGCGACTGTAAGGTGTTAATGTAGAGTTCGAAGATTAAAGATGCATCACAAACCGTGTCCACCAAGTCATCAGGTCGGCTACTTCTTCACATTCGTCAGGATCCTCCAAAAGATCAAGAATACTGTGGTAGAAGGTTTCCGAGTCCGTGACCGTGTCCGTGCGTGAAAATACTGATGAAGAGCTTAATGAAAACCGAACCTAGGGTAACAGTGAGTGGGGGATCATTATAAAACTTCCAATGCACCTGTGTGGCAATGTAAGCTAGGGATCCTTTCGTTACAGATTTCATCCCGTGGAGGTATGCGTTACCGGAGCGCGTGGCTTTTGGCTCCTTTTCCACGGAACTTGGAGAGGTAAATACGTGTTTGAAACCCTATTAATAGAAATGGCATTTAGTAAGAACTTGACCGCTAATAATGACCTTACGAAGACAAGTATGTCGCTCCTCAATAGACCCTGCCATGGAGCTTCAGGATCATAGACATACCCAGCATACAAAAACATAGGCCATTGGTCGCCACGGACCGCCGTTTCGCCACTTTTGAGGCTCTGCTTGGTTCTGTGTAATATTATGACAGTAAACTTATTGAATGATGGAAAGACTTACTCTGCATTCGACCAGTCAAGGTCTGCAGGGCAGAGCAATGCACCGGTCACTTCGTGATTGAATCCACGGTCGGATTTAATATTTCGGGAGAGGGGCGGTATGAGTGGCTGTCCTCGGGGCATAAGCCATTCGATGACGGCAGATTTAAGCGTCTTGGTGTCGTCACCTCGCGCACCAGACGCTCCTTTGCCCATCTACAGGGAGGTGACTACGAATACACCTTTAAGCATGCAAGACTTACCAATTCTCCGACATGAATGATGTCCTCCTCCTCGCCAGCTGTCAGACGCTCTAAGAGACCAGGATAGGAATCTACAAGCTCCATAAACACCCTATGTTCACGTCGAACACTAAAGTTAAAATTAATGTAAGACACTACTAATATTCAATCGGCACCATTCCACATACTCAGCTGGATAATCTTCTATCAAAGAGTCTTGTAACTCTTCGAGCCGAAGAATGCCTCCAGTTAGGAGAGAGGGATAATTGCATAGTGCAAATACTGTTCGACCGAAGTGTCGACCATGGAGAACGAGGGGATTTGATGAGGTACTGATTAGGACACGTCAATAGTGGTGCGTTTCACGACGTGAAACATGGCTTACGCTTTTTTACGTGGGCCCATATAAAGTGCAGAACCACTACATTTGCGTGAAGAGCTGCCAATGTGGGGATTATTCTCATCGCCGCTCATACTAAGTTGAAGGAACAGATGGCTCTCACAACACCAGAAAACGAGACTTTATATGTTCGAGTACGCCATCAGGATTGAAACGGGAGTGAACCAGCACCCTATGCCATAAATATCATAGATGGCGCAATATGTGAGCGTCATCCGAGCGTGCCATCCGAATCGGGACGGAAGTGAACACTATCACCTACCAAGAATGGCATAGATGGCGCAATATGCGAGCGCCATCCTGAGCGTGCCATCCGAATCGGAACAGAAGCAAACACTAGCGTCTTAGAGCCATAAGTATCTTGGATGGCGCATTATATCATCTAGCAGTGAAACTGGCACGCACGTATATATATATGTAGATAAATCACTGGCGCTATTACAGCAGCAATCAATATCATTATCGGTGGGACTTGGTATGCTCGACTTCACCTCGCAGAAGCGTTTGAAACAGTGTATTCTCGTCGCAACTAATATCACGCTAAGGTAAGTTCTTCAATGTGGTATACAGTACGAAACTTACAAGGTTCACCTGAAGTTTCCAACTCCCCCCAGTACAGATACCAATCGGCACTGAGAGCAAGTGAGTGATACTATTACAAAAAAACTCAGAACAAGACCCACCATGCAGGCAATAGAGCAACACAAACTACAAGTAAAAGTGAGATTTGAAATTTAGACCTGTCCGTTGTCTAACAAAAGACCCACCTAGGCGTCGGCGAACAATTTAAACACGAAACAGAATTTGAGCTGCATCAAGTCAAAGAACAGCTCAGAAACGCGGAAGAGAATATCGCGTACCTCTCAGATAGGGTTATGACGTACAGGTATAGGTGGCTGGAAGAGTATTACCGTGCCGACAACCTGGAGCGTCATATGCCTAATGGCATCCATGTACCCGACCTTGGTCAGATTCCCCTAGGTGCCCCCTCTCCCGGCTTCTCTACAGAGTTCTTGGCCTGGGATGACATGTGAGGGTTGAAAGAAGAGCGAGATAAGATGTCTAACAAAATCCATGGGGGCCCTGTGCTGACTGTATCATGTGGCGAAAAAACTAAATTCATGACTACTGAAGTATAGTATGGTCATAGTCTATCACATCATGTTTTGTACCTGTTCTACAAGACATATCTGCTCGAAACGCAGAATAACACAAGTCATAGGTGAAAGCGCAACTTCAACAGTATTTTTTTTTACATTACACTTTGTGACAGTAAAGATCTGACCACAAGAATCCCCGTCTAGAACGAGAACCCGTTGATTTTTTTTGTGTGGATAAGCTGGGCTCAAATCTTTGGAGGGGATATGGTAATGTTGAATCGCAGCGCCTGCATTGTTAGATGTGCAGAATACAGCAACACAATTTTCAGGTGTGGGTCCGTTAGCACCGCAAAAAGGGTCAGGGCAAGCCGTTGACACAAATCGTTTATGTAACCTGCCTCCCATGAAGCCCACTCCGACTTTCAATACCACATGATGAAAAAGGAATGTCGAGGAAAACTCCTTGCTCATTAACCAAGGCAACAGGCCTGCGATAAAATAACATGAGTAAACATTTGATTCCTCCACCGAGGTACTCACCACTGTCTTGGAGAGACACTGCTCTGGTGTCAATATTATCTTGAGTGTCCTCGGGATTGACAATCCAGCGATCAAATGTCGACGAGCTGGGAGCGATGCTCGATAAAGGGTGGTCTACAATACCCTCTGGGTCGGCGGCCCAGGAGGTCCATGATGACAGGCTTCTGCCTGATGAGCTAGATGGAAGTCGGACAGGCGGGGGGGTAATGCTTCGATGTTGCGGCATCGTCGTGTACGATCTTCTCCGGATGTCGCAGAAGGAAATCAAATCTGGACCTTCCAATATAGCACCATTTAATCTCATTCCATAACTAACAATCATTAGCAATTTAGTCATCGCGAATATTGGTGCGGTGTTCACCTGGTGACAACGTCCTGGCGTCTAAGAGTAGTGCGCGCCTGCCCGTGCACAGTGACAGTGCAAGTGTCGGAAGCGACGTCGTGTAGTGTAGCTCGGTAACCTTTTCGGTCGCCCCCAACAATGAAAACTTCATGGCCAATAATCTTGTTGAATGAATCCAAGCTCACATTGGATTTCTTGATTACAAAGGTGATAGGGACATCAATCTGCAGCAGGTCAGACATGCTCGAGTCGATGTGTTTGATACTTACGAGGGAGTGATCACTATCAGATAGAAGGGTCAAACGAGCAGTTTGGAAAGTCGACGCTCTGTACGACCCCTTTGCTTTGATAGTCTGGCCCGCGGGCGATACACACAACGTCTCCAGGCCTCACGTCATAGCCCTTGTCTTTTGTATATCTTAGCGTATTGGGGAGCTTGGTCCGCTGAACGATGGTTACAGGAACTTGGATTCTGAACGGTCCGACACCAGACTCCACATCATCCCCAGCCAAGACAGGGCTTGCATCACGAAACCACAACATGGTTCCCCCCGTTGGAATCCACTCCACGATGCCGCATTTCTTCCAGTGCTCGCCCGCAAGCACTTCAATATGATCCCCGACTTGCAGAGATTCGGACTCAGGGGGCGAGTATAGGTGTTGCTGCGTGGGCAGCGATGAATGGAGGATGTGATGCAAAGGGCAACGGTCTAAATAGTACCTCGAAACAAGTACCTATGCAACTGAGTGTTAGATTATTTTGATATTGATTGCATAAGTCTTACTTCTTCTTTAGAGACTCCTTGGCAAACGTGAAATACATCATCGCTAATTTGAATGATTTGCCCCTCCAAACCCAGGTATGGACCTGCTACCACTCGAACTGTCGTCACCGACACAAAAAATATGTTCCACATCCTCGAGTCGAACGTCAATTGACCTTCGGTTTCCATCAAAGATCGTTTCCAAGCACGCGGAACCTAAAACATGATCTGTCGAGATGACTGTACCTACATTAGGTCGAAGTTCCCCTGCGATCACTCTGGCCTGAATCGCCTATGCGCATGAACTGCAAGGAAAATGCAGCCAGTGTTTTCTTGACGAAGGGTGTGTCAAATCCGGATTCCATATGTAGTCGAATGTCATCTGCATGAGGAGAGGCGACAAGTTCTAGGTGATCACGGTGAAAGTTCTTGAGTAAAAGTCCCTTGTAATACTGTTCTCCTTTATAAGAGAATCCTATAACTTTCCCATCACAGATCACTGTCGCGAACCGTCCTGACCATTTGGAAGGCGAAATCGGTCGAGTAGGGCCACAGATCTACCAGGCATGGGATAGAGGAAACGCCAAGGGAGGAATTAAAATAGCGATGAGATGATTCAACGGATCAGAATCCAAAACTGTAGCCTATGTCGCCCTTGTAGTTGCCGTGTTTGATTCTCACCCACGCTGGGCTGGGGAGTTTGGAGCATGAACACTCTACCGCTTCGCATTCATCTTCTGAAATTCGAAGATACTGCTTGACAGCGAAAGTGTGTGATATTGGAAGCGATGCCGTGATGGTTCTAGGACTGTCTGCAACAACATACAATTGGCCTGCTGTCCAGATCGACACCGTAACATGAAACCCTTGACTGCCGAAGTTGTTCAGCGATGTAATCTGTGCTATTTCCTGAGATGCAATGAGTGATATGTCGTGCCAGTTTGTTTTTAAATCAATAGACTGTACTGGTGACATGAAGGAGATACATCCTAGGTGCAATCACAGAGGAAGACAGGGCGGCATCACCATGGTGGGCCTGGCGCCCTTCTGATGAAAGGGATGGGTTCTCTGCGAACCTATCGAACAGGGCGTCGAATGTTGTAGCTAACCTATCCTTGGCTGACGGTTCCGATAATGTGTACAACCTTCGGTGACTGTGCAGAAGGCCCATCTGCATCATCGTCATCCTCCTCTCCTTCTGTTCCATCTTCTGCTTCGGTCAAGATGTACGGATTAGACTATATATGTTGTTTATTATTGTAATCAAGTCATCAGAAATGAAGACACGCTTACTTTGGGACGTCCTACGCGATCATTGAACACAAATCCTTGACAATCGATCATGCTGACTTCGACTACATTATTGTTTAGTATCCTAAGTCATCAGATCGGAAATGATAACACACCTTATGACTATGTGATAGTTGAGCGGAAGTAGATGACAAACAACTGTCCGGCCTCGATGAAGACGAGAGCAAGAGAATGTGCCTTGCTCTCACGGCGCGAAGATTTGTCAAGGCGATGCTGTCACAACCATCACCAGAGAACAGCGCATCTCTGGCATCCTTCCAGTTCGCTTCGCAATGTATCGATTACCGAGGTATGCAGAAAACGCCTCCTCCATCTGAGGGTACATCATGTCTGTAGTGAGATACTGTTCAAGAATGTCCCATGCGCCTGAATCTGTCAATGGCGATGGCGCAGCTGGATAATTCGCTGTCATGCAAACAAGCTCATCAGTGAAGATGACCACGATATCTCATCACAACTTATCGTCATCAGTTCGGACAGCGTTTGGGAGCATGCTCATCATCACTACATGCCGCGCATTTAGACATTCTGTCTGGGCTGCATCAATCTCTGTAGCACGTAAATAACCCACAGCCTCACATACTATGTGCGATAGTCTACTCAATTATCCAAGTTCTAGGTGGTGGTAGCAGAAAAGAAGCCTACAAGCGCGTAGGCTCAGTACTCGAGGTGAACGACTAATTTAGCTTAGCAAATGTGTTATTTTATTATTACTGATGGAATATGAAGTATAGTATAGTAAAGTAAAGTACTTGTGCGGAGTTCCGCAATGCAAAAGTACATTAGTATGAACTGCGGCCATCGTGGGAGATACACATTTAATTTGCAGACCGTAGTACCTGCGCTTGTCTAACGGGATAGAGTTGCCAATGGCTATACTGCATTAGGACACAGGCTGGCAGGTGCGGTAGGAATGTCAGGAAAGAAGTTTCGTCTTTACAGAGCACTGGTTTATATACGGAATGACTAATCTTCATTGAAACCCAGCCGGCAATTGCCCTGGATTCAGAATCACTCACGCCTGTTTCTACAGACTCAGTTTTTTCCGTAGAGATGAATATGTTATCTCTAATAATCCTGATTACTACTCGTAACTACTCCTGTATACATATTTATCAAATTCTGAGATTCTGAAGTTGTGTAGACACATGGGAACCAGTTTGCTATCTACTTTATTCCAAATTTAATCTAATATGTGTGGGAACTATGACCGTATAGTACTTATGGCGCAGATGGGGTTTGGAACATCGGGTGAAGACGTATGCAGTCATGAGCGCATGTACCGTCGTGCCCTCATTTTTGTGTCTAGTAAAAGGCTGGGGTAAGGCCATAGAGGGCAACAAGGACAAGCTATCGCAGTGATAACACCAGCCAAAGGAGTCCGCACGCCCGAACTTGACTTCAAGGCAGAGCGGGAGAACGATCCTGTAGCGGGATATGCATGGAATATAGTGCCGAGCGTGTTCGTGACGCCTATGCGATGAGCTCTTGGTTGGGATTGATCTTGTATCCATTGACCCGTCCAAATGCTGCAAGTAGTGTGTCAAAAGGGCATAACGGTCAGATGATCAGTGACTTACATCTGGCAATGGCGATGTGCTCAAGGAGAATTATGGTGGCGACAGGGATCTGTGGCCCGAGGGCTTTGACGAACTCGCTATCGATGACAGGGACACCCACAGTTTTGAAATCCTGCAGGAACAGTTTCCAAGATGGCAATCGGATATTTACCGGAGGCGGTTTACGGTGTCAGGCAGTACAGCCAAGAAGCGAAGGTCACCACTATCACCACAAAAGCATTTCTTGTAATTGAGATGAAAAAGAAAAGTCAGGCTGGACAAGATACCATAAGAGTTTTGTCATAGGAAGATTACACAGATTACAGCTTACCTCGTCTGGGGTACCATTTGGATAATTGGTTACAATTGATGTGAATTGCAGTAGAGCGAAAAAAGGCCTGTGAGACCCCAGGCAGCATCTAGTTTCGTACGGGGAAGCCCCTTGAGAGTATTGATGATAACTTCGTACATGGCAGCTCGAGTACTATGAAATATGTCACAAATTGCATTTCGTTCGAAATCAATGACGCCCTTACCTGAACCCGGTAATGCCCATGAGGGCAGGAACCTGACCTGCAACTATATTTATCACAGATCCAGTCATATACCCGCTGACTGCTGGCACGGGTATGAACTCGACTGATCCAGCTGATGCGCAAGAGGCCAATCTGGCCGCACGTTTGATCATCTGGGAGGTGGAAGGTTAATGTTCTTGGAGACTGAAGAGACTGAGAGGAGAATACTCACTTCACGTGCCCACCACAGCGTCTTCTTCGTCTCTTGCTGCATACCTGCGCTTACTACAGAATTCATGTGCGATCCATTCTTCTAGCAGGTGTTCTTTGATCTGGCCGTTGGGGAAACAGTCTGCGAGGTCACCGATGAGGCCAAAGGAGAGTTTCACAATGGAATCGGATCTCTCCTCGTCTGCTAGACATTGGTGGACTGAGCTCGAGGATACTGGGTACGTGAGGTAGTAGTGCGGGTGCTAGGGACGGTTGTGAGTGGCAAAATGAGTCTACAAGAAAAACGCAAACTTTTCTCGGTATTCTTGAATCCAGTGACAACCCCAGTGTATGCCTCTAGAATTCCTTCCCGTAGTTGAGCGACATAGTCCATGAGATCAAAGTCAAGCTAATGAGCACCAGTTAGCACTGAACACGTTCAGAAATAAACCAGCTCACAGGATTAGGTTGCACAGAGCCCGCTTGTCTCAACACGTCCATGGTTGTATTCAAATAAGAATCAAAAGCAGGTCCAATAGCGAGCGCAATATCGCCAAAGCAAGATAGTATTGATATCTTGACATTGCAGGTTAAGAACGTTGCTCTGCAGGTTCTCTAGTGAAACGTTCATGAACGCGCCTGCATACTGGGCACTCTGATCGCCAAGTGCACGTGGGATATCTCTGATGATGCCGACAGCAACCATGCACAGCTGGGTATTTTCATGTGCTTTGAGGGCGGGATACAGGAATGGCAAGAAAGCTTGAATGTATGGTGTGAATCCAGCTTCCAATGCTGGCAAAGAAGCTCAACATCGGGGTGGGCGTGATCGAGAGGGAAACGTACCGGCAGCTAGCGATCCAACAACCAGGAAAGCATCTTCAAGCACTGTTGATGTCTTTCCTGCTCCTTGGATAAGCTGGAGAACGAGGGTCATGATTTGATCTGCCATTGGTTGAATGCCTCTGCTGAGCCTCCGAATAACGCTCTGTGGATGTATGAGCTACAACACGAAATAACGAACATGATGGCATATGATGACAACACTGCAGAGATTGCTCTGTAGCTCATTCCAGTTATTGCGGTCGTCAACGCTGATGATTTGGTTCTTGAAATGGACGTAAAGATACAAGTAAAATCATGCAGTGATGAAACACACCTGCATGTTCAGAAGTTGCTCCATTCTCTGCAAAATAGCAATGACGGTGTTTTGCATCACAGGAATACAATCTGTAGTTGAATGGGATACATAGGATGTGATGGCTTCATATGCAGAGGTTCAGAAGTTGGATTCGTTCGCAGGTCCTATGAAACAAGATCAGACTGAAGGTCACGTGAACCAACAAAAAAGTAAAAAGTACGGATGTCTCGGTAACCCACAGAAGGGTGCTTACTATCCCCTCAAAATATGGTGAGAGCAGGGCTCTCGGAGGCAGAAGTGATATATTCGTCGAGGTATATTTCGATCTGATCAGCGAGGTTCATGAGTGCCCAACAAGGTATGACCCTGGTCGACCTGTGTCACGCCCTAAGTTGGTCACGATGCGCAGGGCGATCCGAAAGACCATTGACGAGTGCCGGGATTAGAGGATGAAGATGCACGTCAGGCTTGATCGTTATAATTAGAAGATCGCAGATTCATCCGAGTGTCCATGCTGTTGTATCTTTCACATGCAGATTCTCATCATTCATAATGCCGATCAGAAGGGGAAGCGCCTGGTTGACGAGAGGGGTGAGAACCTGGGGATCAGGACCCTCCAAAATAGAGCCAAACAGCATTATGGCTGCTTTGCGCTGGTGCCAGTCTTGCGCCTTGATGTGTGCCTCAATGAAGGGGATGACAGCGGGAACAATTGCATCTGCTACGGCTTGAGCCATGTAGTTGAGACAAGTACCGGTGCTCATGGCAAGGTTCCATTCACCTTCGTCGGTGTTGGAGCAGGGGAAAGGGTCTGCGCCCAAGGTCTGGCTGAGAGAAGCAGATGATGATTACTGATGCGACCAAACTCAGTACTACTTGCTGACTAAGCTATGGAAAGAGCTGATGGTGCTCAGTGGCTCTTGTCCTTGGAACCCCTAGGAGGAGATTAAGAAGAACCGGGATTACTTCCGGCAGGGCAACCTTGGCAAAATGCTTGGACTCTAATTCGGCTCATCGTATTCTGCAGCCTGCAGAATACGTGATTGGTTTGAATAGTATTTGTGCATCCCGCGTACCTCTCGTGCCTCATGGGCGAGTTCAATCTCTTCCTCACATACAGTGGTCCAGAACTCTATGGCTTGCAGTGCGACCCGTTCATCAGAATGTTTCATGCCCATCACAGTAAGCTGGAAAGTATGTTCTGTCAGGAGGACTCAGGGCAGGATAAACAAGCGGTCGTGCGCCAAACAAAGCCTGTTCCATATAAAATGCCATCTTGTCGTAGTACAGTGCCATAATCTTCACTAAACATTCGAAAGCGCCGACTTGGTACAACAATTCAGATGGTGAGTCTGAACAATGTGTTGGGTCTTGCAGAACCTAGCTGCTATTCGACTCTAAAGGGTTTCTGGACCAGGCTCAAGGCTCAGAGGAGAGGAAATATCATAGAAACTTGCTTATCTCTCAGACTCATACTGGTAACTGGTGAAAAGATTGCTTGATTATGTAAGCTACAAAAGTGCCAACATAAGGTAAGGTAAAAACAGTCTCTACAAGCCCAACCAGAAATGAATCCCTACAGCGCATCAGTAAAGCAAACACCAGAGATTGAAAAAAAAAGTACTTCTCAGTCAAAATTGTCCCGTACGAACTCCAGGGAGTCGAATAGCGCATGGACCGCAGCAAGCTGTACTTCCGACGATGACTCCTCCTTGCGAGCGCCATGAATTACAGCCGTCAAAATCTCATTCAACCTCAATGCCAAGACCTCCGGTTTCAGTGGCGCGAGATGAGGACAAAGTGGTTGAGTGGCACAAGGTAAACATACTATAGTTTCACAGATGTAACCAATAGCTTGCAAAGTGGCAATCTTCAAGTTCGTGTCATCAGACGTGTTGATAAAACCGAGAAGAATTTCAACGAGATCTGGCCATTGGCCGACAGGTAACTCTACGGCTGCGATCGCAGAAACGACTTGGGCAGCCACAGCACCTGCTCTTGGTTGAGGAGATGCAAGAGTTAAAAGGGATGCCTCTTTGATCTTTTGTCTAGCATCGACATCGAGGGCCATCCATCTTGCAGAGTACTCGTCTTGCCTTGTTGAATCCTATACGCGATGTTTAAAGATCATGACAGGTCACTGAAGAACGTGTTTTACGTACACGGGCAGAGAGAGCATTTTTGAGTGCAAGACCAGCAGCATTGCAGGTATGGATTTGAGAATTCTCGTTGCGGAGCTCATCTGATAACATCAACATATACACCCAAGTACGATAAATCCACAAACAAAGGCCAATGTGGTGGCTATCCGTGGGCCAGCCCATTTATGAGGGTACTTTGCATCTACAAGCAATGATGATCTGAGCCATGGTTTGCGACATAACTGCCACTGGTCCGATAGAAACATCTTTCGAAGTCGCAAAGAACTACGAGTAAATTTAGCACCGCGATTATCCAAAGTAGCGTGCACGTACGCAGTATATAAGAACACCAACGAAGGATGAATACAGACCGTACTGCGCAGGAAGCGAGGCAAGCTACGAAGGCTTGTCAATCAACGGGAACAAGATTCAAGACAGAATATTACTATTGCATATGACATTCCTTACGGGACTAGCACCATCCCTATGGTAAGGCCAGCAATAAGGTCGCCAGTGAGCCATCCCAAATCTGAAAATGTGTATGATTAGCCTGAGCTTGTCACAAGTTGAAGGGAAAATGCAGTATCTTACTGTATCGAGTGATCCATCCAAAGATTGGGAAAAGACTGGTCAAGTATTTCACCGCCTAGAATAAGACAATCCAAATCGAGTACTCAGGGCGAAGAAAAGTAAGGATTTGTACCTCATGCCTTGGATCTTTCACAACCTGAATGCCCTTCAAATAGGTTTCAGTGGAGATTGTGGTTACTGTCTGCTCGAGGTTTCCTATAATTCTATTGCCAACATGCTTGCTGTCGAAAGCATGGTCGAACTCCTGAGTCAGTGGCTCCGAGTCAAATGGGCCCACCGGGAATGAGAGGCTCAGGTAGATATTTATGGGTAGATAGGCGCTCAGCAGTGGACAAATGGAGCAGATTCAGGCGGCTTTGTTCAAGGCAATCAAGACTGGCTCCAAACAACAGGTTATCACTACAGTTCGCAACGTAGCACGGTCGCCTATAGAGTTTTCTGTGATGTTGCGAAGAATGGCTAGCCAAACGAAGGACGTAACATGATGCCGTGGACGGAAAGAGCCGCAAAGAAGGCAGTAACATAGCACGACGTGCTCGAAACTGGTACTGTTGCACCTGGATACTCGGGTACTGCCAGCAGGTGTTTGATTCGGAAAGTCAATCACTATATCATTCCTTTCAGCGTCATAATTGTTCTCTTTTCTCATCTCTCATCTCTCAACAGAGTATGTGAGGTTATAGTGAGATTATTGTAGTATGATTAGCGCCATGTTATCTTACATTAGCGCCATGTTAGCTTACAAATTAGAGAAGTGAATGAAACCTTAGAGGTCAAATGGACTATGAAATGACTTGCAAATACTATGCGCGTCAGTGAGGTCTGCTTCCTATCCATATGACCAAGATGGCTAACAGTAACGAATGCAGATTACCCTCCTGTACATATTATCTATTCAAGTTATTCTGACATACCGTCAGTTTGGGCAGGAGGGCTATTTCTTCCGAGGATAATACATCGTCGGTATGTAGGCTTTTCCGACGAATTTCTCAACATTCACTACATTGAATATCAGCCATCCGCCATGCTTAATCGCGGGGGAAACTTACGCATGTAACCACAAGTACTGGTCGCGCATTCCGCAACGTACTCCCCTCGGAATACTCCACGGGTTCGCTGAAACACCGATACCTCGACATATCTGTCGCCTGTTGCACAAAGACAACATGGATATCGAAAGACGTGCGCCTCACTGATATGCCGCAAATCGTGAAGGGTGGATTTTACTGCCCATGTCGGTTAGTTGGCCTGTAAGGCGAGTTCAATCAGTGAGTCAAGCACTGACCAAGTCGAATGCAAATATTGAATTCACCATGGGTAAGTTGACAGTTCCCCTGTCTGAGCATGGTATTGAAGTATACCATGGCGAGCAGTAATGATCCGAACCAGCAACTTCACAACGTTAGGGTCAGCTTCGAATTCTATGGGTGAGAGTGTTGAACATTCAGAGCATGGAGAGGGCGGCACTGACATCTCAGGCTATACAGATGGGGAACAAGACTCAGGTTCTCAGGGTTTATATAGGCGACCGTATGTCTGCCCATATCAATATGGCGATAGCCGCGCCATCACCTGTGCGCATTTGGCTATGGACGAACCATACGGCAATTGCTGCCTGCTCCATTCATCATTTCCAGCGGATTGGCTATGGGTGCACTATTCCATCGACACTTCGTTTAAAACCAATCGAAGACAGACGGCATACTTCGATTAGCCCTCCATGTCAGGTATCAAGCTACACTTGCATCTGCAAGCGAACTTTCACAGCACAGAATTATTTGAGCACACATAAGCGCTCGTGCTCGCACACAAAAAAACGATTGTCATCAGCTATCACCTCGTTCAAGGAGTTCGTAGGTCGCAGGAAAAGAGCGCGTACCTCACCTGGCCTTGTTGAGGATGATGGATCGCCGAGCATGTCCAATGTGCTCACCGCTCACTTCAGCCCGGGTGATGTCGGTACTTCAATGGCGACTCATTGTTGTGATGCTGGTGTAGCTCCTCTGCCTACCCAATCGACCTCTTGTGGAGGAGGGATCGTGACCCCAGATCTCGAAGGAGGAGACATTGATGAAGGGGAGGAAGTCAGTTTGGCACAGCGGAGAACAAGACGTCAAAACCGCCAGCTGCCTCTGAGATTCAGGGATGTGCTTCCTCAACCTCCGCCTACAGTACCTATGGAAGTGCGAGACCAACCTCCGGAATCTGTTGGATCTGTAGTCACTACAGATCAACGACCTGCCTTACCCATGCGCAAGGTTTTTCGTACCCCCCCAAATATATTTGGGCTAGTGCGCCAATACTTCTCTTCGGAACCTCCATCCCACGATCCGGAAGAATACATCACACTCGCAGACCTTTCGTTTATACCAGGCAGTCTTCCTGTCACTGAAGAACCTCCTACGTTTGCTGCGTCGAGCAGTGACTCCCAGTACCATCCCTATCCCAATCGCTCGTCCTTTCAGCTTGGCGATTGGTACTGGAATCAGGGGATTCAAAAATCGCAAGGTGACTATGCTAAACTGCTGGAGATTTTAAGCGACGATACTTTTAATACTGCCGACGTGTCTTCTACCCATTGGAAGAGAATCAACCACCAGCTGGGTGCAAATAAGTACGATGAAGGAGATGAGGACGAATGGGAGGACGAGGATACTGGATGGAAAAAAACCCTGGTTTCCATCGAGGTTCCCTTTTCCCGCACCACTGATACACCAGGCCCTCGATCCTACCAAGCCGCAGAGTTGTACCATCTGTTCTCTGGTGGCTGTTATGCGGGAAAAACTTGCTAACGCTCGGGATGACAAACTCTTTCATTATGAGCCGTATGAGCTCCGTTGGAAGCCCCCTCACCTGGATCGCGAAGTTCCCATATATGGGGATCTGTATACCTCTCCGGCTTTCCTAGATGCCCACAGTCAGCTGCAAGAATCTCCAAGGGAGCGAGGTTGCGACCTGCCCCGAGTAGTTGCTGGACTGATGTTCTGGTCTGACGCTACACAACTCACGTCGTTTGGAAATGCCAAGCTATGGCCTACCTATATGTACTTCAGGAATGAGTCTAAGTATCGTCGGTGCAAGCCGTCGTGTAACTTAAGCAATCACGTCGCTTACTTTGAAACGGTAAGCGTCCCAATGTTGTGGGTTTCAATGTGCACTTAATTTTGTGCTTCCAGCTCCCAGACTCATTTAAAGATTTTGCCGGCTGGTACCAGCGAGGGCGCAACCCACTGCCGTCGAGAATTATTTCAGGAGCAATGGAATATCTTATTAGACGAGGAGTTTCTAGAAGCATATGCTCATGGAATTGTCATTCACTGTTGTGATGGCATCACGCGCAGATTCTATCCTCGGATATTCACGTACTCTGCGGATTATCCTGAGAAGTGCGTGACTCTTCCTTAGTCGAATAGTGCTCATTCTAACTTGACCAGAGTACTTATAGCCACGATCCAAAATTTAGGAGGGTGCCCATGTCCTCGCTGCCTCATTCCAAAGGACCGGATACAGAATATGGGAAGGACTCGGGATAGACAGCAACGCAAGACCCTGGAACGCAATCCTCAAAAGAGGGGAACTTTGGTCAGCGCTGCACGTAAATTGATTTACGAGAAGGACTACTCAGTCGGTAGCGCGCTGGTGGAAAGCATTCTTAAGCCAGAGTCCTGGGTACCCACCTCAGTGAGACTTGATCCCCTGAACGTTGCTAAGTGCTAATAATCCCTTAGAACTCCTTCATAGACCGTCTCGGTCCAATGGGGTTCAATATCTTTTGTGCTCTGGTGGTAGATCTTCTACACGAGTTTGAGATCGGTGTTTGGAAGATGCTATTCATTCACTTGTTGCGCATTATTTCGGCCCAGGACAAGGACCTGATACACCAATTGGACAAGAGGTACGGTGTCAGATACCACGTTGCTTGTTGCATCCAGCTGACCTCTACTATCAGATACAGGTAGACTCCGACGTTTGGTGCAGCCACCATCAGAAAGTTCTCAGCCAATTCTTCCGACATGTCGCATATGGCGGCTCGAAACTTTGAGGATCTCCTCCAGGTATGAGCTCCGTACGTATTGACGTTGGATAGACCACTGACGATGTGTACAGTGTTCAATCCCTGTGTTTGACGGTCTTCTTCCAGAACCACACAATGGGACTGTGCTTAAGTTGCTTTTCACTATGGCTCATTGGCATGGGCTGGCAAAGCTCCGGATGCACTCAGATTTGACCCTTGAGATTATGGACGAAGTAACATCGACGCTTGGGAAACAATTTTGTGAATTCAAGACTACAGTTTGCGCTGCGTACCAGACCCGCGAACTGCACAAAGAGGTTGAGGCTTGTGCTCGATGCCATGCGAAGAAGGCGGGGAAACAGACAGCAGGGCATAAAGGAAAAGAAAGCTGTAACCTGGAAAAGCAGGCGCAGTCGACTCAAAATGTGCACCGAACAAAGGTATTCAATTTTCAAATGTACAAGTTTCATGCATTAGGAGACTACATATCTACAATACGCCGGTATGGCACATCTGATTCATATAGCACTGAACTGGTGTGTCCTAACTCATTCAACTATGAACTAACTTGTTGACTTTTTAGGGTGAACTTGAACATTGTTCTCCCAAAGCCAGATATTGCCGCACCGATCGCAAATCATTTGTGAAACAGCTGACTCAAATTGAACGTCGGCAAGCTCGCATTCGCCGTATTGGGGACAGAATTGTTCATCGCCCCCATGTGGAAATCTCCGAGTTGGCGACAAGCCCTGAAGCTCACCACCGTATCAGCCTCACCCAAAAGTACCCTGTGCACATAGGATCATATTTGCGCAGTCACCAAGGTGATCCTGCTATTATAGTGAGTCTGATCGTGCATACCGAGAAACATCTAACATGGTCGCGCAGAATTTTGTTCCGAAACTGAAGGGCCACCTACTGCATCGCATCAATACTTCAAGAGATTCTCTGTGTCCTATCCAAGAACATGATATCAATACACTCATTATTAAGGACGATCGGATGTATCGTCATAACATCGCCAGGTTTAACTACACAACCTACGATGTTCGCAGAGCCCAAGATGTGATTAATCCGAGGACTTCACACTGTAATGTCATGGTTCTTCGCTCCGACACCGACATAGAGGACCAAGGGCACAGATATATGTATGGCAAGGTACTAGGTATATACCACGTCAATGTGATCTATATCGGAAACGGTATGATCGACTACACTCCCTCTCGAATGGAGTTTTTGTGGATACGCTGGTATGAGCCCATCGATCAATGTTCCACCTGGGAGACCTCGACCTTAGACTGACTCACCTTTCCGCCCCTATTGCATGAGCACTCCTTCGACTTTCTTGATCCTGCAGATGTCCTCAGGGGTTGTCACATTATACCTCGTTTCTCCAGCCGCAGGAAACATGTTGATGGATTAGGTATGTCGGCAAACGCGGGGGATAAGGATGATTGGTGCGAATATTTTATCAATCGGTGAGTGAGTCGTATTGTGTCATTGATCAGTAATATTAAATTCTTCATGTCAGGTTCGTGGATCGTGACATGCTTATGCGATTCCACTTCGGGCTTGGTGTTGGACATGTATATTCCCACCTTCAGCGAGATGGTAGCGCGGCGCAGTCTGTATCTACTTCTCATGTCAAAGAACATGATGATGACAACGGTAGCCTCGGAGACGAAGAGGAAGCTGCGCAGGACGATGAAGACGATGAAAATGAGGGTCCGTTGGTGGACCCCACTGAACGGTGGTATGACAGTAGCCAGGAATCACTAATAGAGCAGTATGAAGAAATGTACGCAAGCGAATTAGAATTAGATTACAAGAATTAGATTACATTGTAACGGAGAACGTAATTACAACTACTGTAGGCATCGATGGCGTCGAATGCTGCGTCAAAGACCACTTCAGGCATGTGAAGCGTCGAAGTGTCTCGTTTAGTTGGGTGTCCTGACCTTAGAGGAGGTATGTATGTCAGATAATTGGGTACCGAAAAAGCTAAAGAAGGTTCAGGCATCCGTTTTGCGACAGTGTCAATGTGTCTCGCTTAATCTGGTGTTCAATAATTAGAGCTTTAGAGGTGCGTTTGTAGGGTGGTTCGACGGCGACCTAACCAAGCACCATTTAAAAGCTGCAGATATCTCTCTGCCTTGCTCGCAACTACAATGGCTTCATCTTCGCATCACAATCCCCAGATCGGCACACCAGCACTATTTGATTCCTTCATATTTGAAAGTATCGGCCTCATGCCGCTTTATGTCAGTTTTTTTGTCCTTTCGAAGTTAGTACATACACTCACCTGGTTTCTTTCAGGGTGATTTTGTTGGCGTGGACGATGTCGACTTCATGGCGTATTTGGCTCTGGGACATGGGCCGGCATTGTACCCTCTATACACGAGTTCTTGTATTTCTGAAGTGTTTACGTATCATTTATTCTGGCCCTAGTGTCGCATGGCACTACATGACCAAGTACCTAATCGATTCTATGGGGGGACTACACACTCACTCTTTCCTAGCTGAGAGCACAAATCTCTCTATATGCTTATGTATTGACATCAACTGTTCATCTTTCAGCCTTAGAGGTCACACAGAGCAAGGAAGTCCCTGTGTATGTCAGTTCCGTAAGTCGAGTCTCCACCGTGTCTACCCTCCCACTGAGCAGCCTTGTAGCTTTATCCTCAGATCGAACGATTGGATTTCCCTCCTAAGTCTAAAGGATAGGTCCTGATAACCGTTTTTATGTTGTATATGACTTCGTAAGTCCGCCCCCCAATTCTACGTATCTCTCGCGTGACGATACACCATAGGTTGGTTCTGAAAACTCCACAACTATTGTTCATCTCGCGCGCCATCCCACTGGTTATCACCCTTGGGGTGACATTGACTTTACTACCTTCGCGTCCATGTCAGACAGTATTGATCGTGCTATCATTCCTGATGAGTATATTGCTTCGGACACCGTGATGTCGGACGACATAGGCCACGCCTACCGTTCCAATGACGCTACCTTCACGTCTACGTCAGACAGTGTTGGTCATGCGATCATTTCTAATGAGTATATTGCTTCGGACACCATGATGTCGGGCGACGTAGTCCGCGCCTACCGTTCCAATGACGCCGTCATGACAGATACACATTATGGTGATCGACATATGACATCCGAAGATCTAACTAGCGACAATACATCTGAGGTAGTCATGTCGAACTCGCCCACCATCTATTCCTGGATTTCATACTCGGCTAACATGACGGATAATGGCGCCCCCAGTGTCTGTCAATCTCGTGCAGACCGCAGACACACTCGGACCAAATCCAACAAGAAAAAGGCAGAAAAATCAGCTAAATCCGAAAAGTCAGCTAAACCCGAACAGTCAGCTAAACCCGAAAAACCAGCTCCATCTGAAATGGGCCTCAAAAGCGTTATGAAAAAATACCCAGGGTGGAAAGTGGCCTTTGCCCACCTCCGGTCCTTACTACGAATAGCGGTCTGCTTAGGCAGAGTCGGCAATCCCCACCTACTCAATTTTGAACGGAAGGCAGATGCTATCCGTGATACCTGGCCTCAAGCTCTCCTTCTGGCCAATATCAGGGCTGATGATTTGGAAGAAGGTCAGGAGATCGATTCCTCTGATACCTGCTAGATATGCTGACTCCTTTTTAGTTGCGTCGCTTACCAGCAGCACTCCTATGTCTCATGAAAATGTGTTGAAACTCGTCTGTATAGATTTTTACTTTCATCATTCTTATATCTTACCCAGAATAGGCCAATCCTTCGCTATCAGAGTTTATATACGATGCCAGGCACTTAGCGTTGTGCACAATCGGCCACTCTCATGCAGGCTTTGGCTTTGACGACGTACCTGCGGGTGTATTGTTGCTTGACCTAGTCCAGGGTGTGCTTCAGCAGTTCATGAGACCAAAATCAAATAGATTTCCGATCAAAGTGCGTGTTCCGTACCTCCTTCAATTGTCATTCTTATTTCAACCGCAGGATAACGGGTTTGCTTGGTTCTTTGGCTGCCAAATAGCCAAGGAGATCATGTGGCACATTATTTTTCGTTCTTCTCCGACTCATGGTGTTCGACTCGTGTTGGCCGATATGGAGCCGGCAACATTCAGAAATGTTGATCATCCGCCGTTTCCAACTATGTCTCTGTTGGGGTCTAGTGTGAGTGTATTTCCACTCTGTTTTCATTTAATTGACTCGTGTCCAAGTGTTACAGTGCTGTTCTGGAAAAATACTCGGACTTAACAAACATCCCCGTCGACCTACTTACACAGTATCCAGCCACAGAAGATGTGTACGACCAACTCTGCGAGACGGCTGTCGAACTTGTGGGGCAGTCCGATGACGAGGATCACCCGAAACTCATGACCGACTTGTCTAACCTATGCAGGATTGTGTAAGTTTGTTTCATCTGCTTTCCGCACTATTGCTGATGTAAACGCAGCATCGACGATGTCTATCGGCTTGGCCGACCGTCAAAAAAGGTAAGCGCAGAATAGATGGAGTTGAGCCCTATATCCATGTCCCCATCTGTATGTCGTGCTGTAGTCTTGTCTTGGAATGCGCATCGATATCCATTGAGTCGCAAATGTGTTCGGTATAGTCTAAGATGAAAGTGGACTCGCCAGAGTAAGCATGATATACCAAACGTCTCGAGTGAGATCCTGGCAGCCAGAATGTTCAAAGTAAGCAATGATATCAATGTCCAAGTTCCTAACACTTAAAACGCAAACCAGGCACTCTTGTCGTCCATGTTTTAAGTCTAAGAGACGCTCAACGACACGGAACACTCTTCTCTCATGTATACTTCAACACAGAGGCCCCAATGACATACTCCTTTCAAACAAATTCCAAGCCTAGGAGGAGTTCAATCTCGTTCAATTCTTCCCACTGCCTCCTCAACTCGTCTCGCTTTTCCCCGACCATAAGCGTCAGGATACACCTGTCACGACGGGACATCGGGACGGCAGGGTGGGGCGCACGCGCTCCGTGGGGATCATCTCGCGCGTGCTCTTGGTTATCCTGCACGATAACTTGCGCGTAGTCCCAGAGAGTCTAGTAAGTGCAGAGTTGGTCAATGATACACAATCACTGATGATAATTGAACAACTCACCATGGCGGACGTCGTGATCGCGACACATATTACAGTGACCTATTTCCGTATAATACGAGGGAACGGACGTGCATAATATCCCGTATGATACGGGCCAGCGGACCATGGGCCCATGATCAAAATATCCTCGACTATGACGGATGGGCCGGGAGGCAAATTATTCCCGATGGAGGCGGGTGGGCCCATGCAGGGGATATATAGAGTAGATGAGTGGGCCGATGTACATGAATATTAGGTAGACGGGTGGGCCGAGGTAGTTGGATATTATGCAGATGGGTATATTAAGGTAGATGTGTATGAGATAGATGGGTAGGTACTTGTTATCACATTCACGGGTGGGCCCAGACACATATTAAATTAGATGGGTGGGCCGAGGGTATTATACAATATTGTATTATACAGGTGGGCCCAGACGCATATTAATTAGACCGGTGGGCCGAGGGTGTTGTATGGGATGTTGTATTAGACGGGTGGGCCGAGGGTGGTATAAAATATAGATGGGTGGGCCCATGTGTATCATAATTGTAAACACGATGGAGCTGAGGTAGTTGTACATCAACCAAATCAGAGGAGGTAATAAAATCAAAGTTACCAAGTTCCTGGAGCAGCAGGTGATCTCCTGACATGGCCTTTGATGGTGCACAGGTTGTCTTGCAAAATTTGGAATCCGGGGTGCGAAGCTTGTGTTACCCTATGAGAAGCCAAGTTCCGATTACCAACCTTTGGGTCAACCGTACTCAGAGGAGGTAATAAATCAAAGTTCCTGAGTTCCCGGAGCAGCAGGTGATCTCCTGACATGGCCTTTGATGGTGCACAGGTTGTCTTGCAGAATTTGGAATCCAGGGTGTGAAGCTTGTGTTGCCCTATGAGATGCCAAGTTCTGACCACCCAAATTTGGGTCAACCATACCGACTTCCAAGTTCCGGGACCCGGGAGTCGACAAATGAATATCTGATAACCAGCACACTTCCAATCAGGTAGTATTTCATTGAGCAATGAATCATCCAAGGGGTCTCTTATCAGACTCGGTAGTCAATATAGGCAAATGATAATGAAAACATGAAAGTTGTTATTATGCTATTTTTCAAACCCGAGACCCTGAAACCCATTGTTCAACATGTCCATTTTTCACTCACTGCACAAATCACCAAGTTTCAAGTGCCAAAGCGTGAAACTTGAAACCCAGTGTGCAACATGTCCATTTTTCATGTACATTACACAATTCATTGAGTTCCGAGTGCCAAGTGCCGAAACCCGAACCCCGAGACCCGAAAATATGTATGCAACATTTCCATTTTTCACTTGTTGCACAAATCACTGAGTTTCAAGTGCCGAAACCCAAAACTCGAAACCCGGCATGCAACATGTCCATTGTTCAATTATATTACACAAGTCATTGAGTTCCGAGCTCCGAGGGCCAAAACCCGAACCCCGAGACCCGAAAATATGTACACAACACGTCCATTTTTCACTCATTGCACAAATCACCGAGTTTTGAGTGCTGAAACCCAAAACTTGAAACCCGGCATGCAACATGTTGATTTTTCATTTACATCACACAAATCATTGAGTTCCGAGGTCCGAGGTCCAAGACCCGAACCCCGAACCCCGAAAATATGTGCACAACATGTCCATTTTTTACTTGTTGCACAAATCACCGAGTTTCAAGTGCCGAAACCCAAAACTCGAAACCCGGCATGCAACATGTTGATTTTTCATTTATATTACACAGATCATCGAGTTCCGAGCTCCGAGGGCCGAAACCCAAACCCCGAACCCCGAAAATATGTACACAACATGTCCATTTTTCACTCATTGCACAAATCACCGAGTTTTGAGTGCTGAAACCCAAAACTTGAAACCTGGCATGCAACATGTTGATTTTTCATTTACATTACACAAATCATCGAGTTCCAAGTGCCAAGGGCCGAGACCCGAAGCCCAAGACCCGAAAATATGTATGCAACATTTCCATTTTTCACTTGTTGCACAAATCACCGAGTTTCAAGTGCTGAAACCTGAAACTCAAAACCGGGTGTGCAACATGTCCACTGTTCAATTATATTACACAAGTCATTAAGTTCCGAGTTCCGAGGGCCGAAACCCGAACCCCGAGACCCGAAAATATGTGCACAACATGTCCATTTTTCACTCACTGTACAAATCACTGAGTTTTGAGTGCTGAAACCCGAAACTCAAAACCCGGCATGCAACATGTTGATTTTTCATTTACATTACTCAAATCATCGAGTTCCGAGTGCCAAGGGCCGAGACCCAAAGCCCGAAACCCAACATCATGTACACAACATGTCCATTTTTCACTCATTTCACAAATCACCAAGTGTTGAGTGTCAAAACCTGAAACCCGGTACTTCAAATGGACACAAATTGTATTTGTATGTATTATCCATTGGTGTAGGGCTCAAATAACCTGGGAATTGTATTTGTCAGTACTCGGTACTTGGGACTTGGGACTTGGGACTTGGTACTTGGTACTTGGTACTTGGTACTTGGCACTCAGTGATCGGTGGTCAGTGGTTGGTACTTGGGACTTGGTACTCGGTACTCGGTTCTCGGGACTCGGTACTCGGGACTTGGGACTTGAGACTCGGGACTCGAGACTTGAGACTTGGGACTCGGGACTCAGGATTCGGGACTCGGGACTCGGGATTCAGGACTCGAGACTCGGGACTCGGGACTCGGGACTCGGGACTCGGGACTCGGGACTCGGGACTCGGGACTCGGGACTCGGGACTCGGGACTCGGGACTCGGGACTCGGGACTCGGGACTCGGGACTCGGGACTCGGGACTCGGGACTCGGGACTCGGGACTCGGGACTCGGGACTCGGGACTCGGGACTCGGGACTCGGGACTCGGGACTCGGGACTCGGGACTCGGGACTCGGGACTCGGGACTCGGGACTCGGGACTCGGGACTCGGGACTCGGGACTCGGGACTCGGGACTCGGGACTCGGGACTCGGGACTCGGGACTCGGGACTCGGGACTCGGGACTCGGGACTCGGGACTCGGGACTCGGGACTCGGGACTCGGGACTCGGGACTCGGGACTCGGGATTCGGGACTCGAGACTCGAGACTCGGGACTCGGGACTCGGGACTTGGGACTCGAGACTCGGGACTCGGTACTTGGTACTCGGTGATTGGTGGTCAGTGGTTGGTACTCAAGACTCGGTAGTTTCTCCCTGATACCCACCAAAAAACCCACACCCACAAGGTGGGTGTGGGTATATCATGGGGTATGGGTGGGGGTAGTGCTACTCATACCCCGGGGTTCACCCACACTATTCCCTATCGGTACTCGGTACTCGGCACTCGGTGATCGGTGGTCAGTGGTTGGTACTCGAGACTCGGTAGTCAATATAGGCAAATGATAATGAAAAATGACAGTTGTAGTCCATGTCAAGGTGAGTGATTTGGTAGTCTTTCCTTGTCATTCAGCAAAACATCAGCAATAATGAAAAAATGAAAGTTGTTATTATGCTTAACTCCTTACCAAAGGTTGTAGTCCAAGTCCAGGTGAGTGTAGTGGTAGTCTTTTCTTGTCAATTGGTTATCTTGTTACTCATTATGCAGTACTTGGTACATGGTAATTGGTACTCAGTATTTGGTTTTGATACTCGGTATCTGGGAATCAGTAGTCAGCTTAATCAAGGTTGTAGTCCGAGTCTAGGTGAGTTTATTTGTAGTCTTTTCTCGTCCATTGGTTACCATGTGACCAAGATATAAGCTAAAGAAATCCAAAACATCAATAATGACAAATGAAATACATGTGTGCAGTAAGTGAGTCTAAAGATAAAGAATGAATATTAATAGCGAGACTTGCACATTATGTCGAGATATCCAACATGACAAGCCTGTGATGTGATCAGAGACCTGGAATAACACCCATATACATCCATTATAATAGCTTAAAAGCTTAGAAATATTCATGAAGGATTGATGTAATGATAGGCAAAATGATGTGTGGAGAGTGACAGTAGACATCTTTTATATAAAGTCACATTTATATATGATTCAGGCCAAAAATATCATTACAAATATGTAGGATAGATTGTAAACTACCCAAGGAACCCATACTGCCTACTGCCCTGAGGGTAGGGGGTGGGTAGAAGGGATATAGTGAAAATATGAGTTGACCCAGCATTAAAGTCCTACCACTGCTCAACTAACCATTTTCGATGCTTTGGGTCTTTGAAGTTTCCCACACTCAATTTCTTACCCATTTCACTTCCTCAGTACTCAATTCTTGGTTGATTTGTCTGTAAATTTATGTCTATGATACTTAAGATATTTGAAATGTACCCCAGGTTTTTGATTATGAAGATTCAATGTTTTGAAGGCATGGGCCCCTTATCAGGCAAAATGGCAAGTATGCACACTAGCTCACAAACTCCAGCCTATTGTGAGCTGATCTTGGTCATAAGAAGCAAGAATATAAGCTATGCT